CGCGGCCCTAGTATAGTACTAGCTTCATTAAATAAACATAGACCCGTTGCTAAGCGGTGACTGTAAACAGCGGCCATTGGTGGGTAACCCTCGCAACATACACACACGCAACAATAGAATAACGGTATTATGCAAGTCGGTTCTATGCAACGGCTCGGTAAACACGTTCCCACGGAAACAAGACGCACACAACAGTGCAGTTACAATGGGAAGGGAGTGTTTTCTGTGTGGTCCGTGTCGATGAGGTACGCTGAAGGCAATTAATTTGACCAGTTCAGGGGAATAGAGTGCAGCAGCATCTGCCACAACAGGAATTTCAGGAAACAGGTCTGTCTGTACAGGCCTCCTGTTCGTCTGACAGTGACAAGTAGCCGCTGTAGTGCGACAGATCATGACAGAGCTCAGTGAAGCTGTAACAGAGGAGGACAAATCAGTGATCGTTACAATGACGATACCGGGGGCACGCAGATGCTACAAGAAGGAGGGTAAGGGGTTCGAGTTCCGATGAGGTGGATTTTTTCAATTTACCTAATCCTTCCAGCCGCATTATGGCCCTGGGGTTGACTCAGCGTCTAACAGAAACGAGTACCAGGAATCTCCTTGGGGGTTAAAAGGTGCCCGGCACGTAAGGCTGACAACCTTACCGCCATCTGTGAGCCAATTGTCTAGAAAAAATGTGAGAGCCTCGACGTCTCACAACCGTATGCGCCTTCACGGCCTGTTACAGGGATAGCTTTACCTTACCTTTCTTACTTTCCAGTGATGGTACTTGACTTAATGCAACGAAATGGTTGCTAGAGTTCACATGACGCTCGGAGTCATACATGGCTCTATGAGCTCGGTAAGCAGTTGCAAGACTTACAAACAGATGTGACTCTGCTTTCAGAGCAGCATCTCAAACCACTCGAGGGGGGTTGTATATAGTTGTACGAGTATATAGAGCAAAAGGTAGACTATTCAATAACACGATATAAGGCCAAGCATATTCGTAAGAGACAAACCCATCTTCTCGTCAGAGAGGATGTCACATAAGGACACCGTAGGTGTTCAGTTGAAAAAACTCTTGCTGCTAGTCTCAAGGGGCTTAGCGCCAAGACGAACTGATTGGCGGTAAATCGCCAGTCATAAAGTAAGTCTTAGTCTGACTCTGACCAATTCGGTTGTCAGTTGGCAGCTCAACTGAGTAAAGTGCAGTTCAGTGAAGTGAAGTGAATAAGTAGTTCGTTGGTGAGTTAGTTGACGGTTAGGCTGCGCCATAGCTCAAGCAGTTAGTCGCTGGCTTCCCACCGCGGCGGCCCGGGTTCCATCCCGGGTCTGGTCAAATGGGATTTATGTTGGGCAAAGTGGCACTGGGGCAGGTTTTCTCCGAGTACTTCGGTTTCCCCTGCCAATCTTCATTCCACCAATTGCTCCACAATCACTCTTACCTATCATCTGGGGCTGGTACAATAGGCCAGAAGTGGCCGCAGTACAAGGGACTTAGTCCCACCCCACTAGCAATAAAAAATAATAGTTGAGGGTTGGCAGTTGAGTTGAGCTCTACAATGGAGGCTAAGAATAGATAGCGCTATAGATGAGTTGACAGCTGACAAGAGTTCAGTTGCGAGATATTCGCCGGACAGTAACGACGTAAACACGGGAATCCGTTACTAGGGAACGGCTGTTGAAGAAACGGTAGGCTGGAAAAGGCTTAGCGGGTGGTGTGGTGATGATAGCGCTGTAATTACTTGTAGTTCCGAGTGGTGTGCACAAGTACGTCCAGTATCCAATTCATACCCTGTCTATAGTTACACCCCTAAATCGTAATATTATGATCAGTGTAGATGAGAACTACTTTATACAGACGGCATTAAGCGATCTGCAGTTCTTGCACGTACACGCGTTAAAATTAAAAGATGGAACAAAGCGGTATCACATGTTTGAAGTGGCAGATTGTTGTAGTGAGGTTTATATGAACTGTCATGTCACTGTCAATGTTATGCAGGCGGTACACAATACATGTCAGAGATATGAATACGGCCTCAACTGAAACTGATTTGTTATCATAGAAGTTCATTCGGGAGACATGAAGGAACCCTGGGTGCATAGAAGGGCGATTAACATGGAACATGACGTGATGATGTGGAGTGGGTTCATCTGGCTAAGGATAGAGTCCAATGCCCGGTTGCTATGAGCACTGTAACGAATATTCGGATTTCTTAACCAGCTGAGCAACAACGACTGCTTTCCATGGAGTTGCTTCATTCGTGATCGTGATTAGTTCTTAGGTCATTTATTGGTTTCTCTGAACTACACACCATATTGAATGTGTTCTATGGGCAGAGGGCAAAAGGGGGCGGAGGTACACCAGACATTTGGGTACCCTTAATTAAAAAACAACAAAAATTTATGAATATAAGGAAATATAACATATCGTACCAAAACCTGAAATTATTTAAAAACATAATGATTATTTGATACTGAATAATAATAATAATAATAATAATAATAATATAGCCCGATCATCAAACAGCACTCAGACGTACTGGGGTTTTGGACCTTGTTCAATGTCCGGTATTCTAAAAACTAGAGAACACGCCGTTTCGGAAACTGGATCTGTTTCCGTCTTCAGGTGACAGGGGAAACATCTTACGCTATTGGGTCTCTTGGAAAGAGCTAACCTCAGTCACTACAACCTGTTAGTAAACATAACCTTATACGGCTCAAATGTAAGTTCCGAATCAAACTACCTGCCCCCTTCGCCCTAAGAAAATCCTTACAGCATACATGGCTCCTTGTCACCATCGTTTTTGTCGGGTTGCGGATGGAGGAGACGGCCTCAAATCGCAGACAACCGACAAGGGGTCGTCTTTCGGCTTTGGGACTGGGCGTGGAGCTGAATTCCAGTCATCGCACAAACCAGCATTTTACAAAATGGAGATTGCAACGAAGTGAGTAGTTAAGTAGTTCATCTGTGAGATCTGGGCGATCTGAAGTTCCCTCCACGGTGACTATGAAGAATGCCGGATTCTGGGATGTGACGTCACGTTACTTGATAGAAGCTTGTCTATGTTCTGAAGGAATGGGGCAGATGGAGGAAGCACGTTCTTCCGAAACTTTTGCAAACTTCTACCAGACTACACTGAGTAAACTGTAAAGTTGTCCCTGTGCTTAATTGATTAAGCACCACGCCATGAAGACACATGACGGAGTGGAGATATAGCTCCACCATGCTTGACATCGGCACTAGATGGAGGTGAAAGTCAGCTTCACGTCCCGGCCGCTTTATCCCCAGGGAAAGACCCCCGACACCCAGTGTAAAGGATGTTGGCTGTGGCCCCAGAGGCGGCCTGGTCTTTGTAGAGAGGAGAAAAATCTAGCCCAAGAACTAGATGAATGTGAGTGGTCAGCATCAAGCCCCGGCTACTTTATCTCCGGGGAAATCGCCGCCGGTATCCATTGTATAGGAAGCTGGGTGGGCCCCGGAGACCTAACTTGCCGAGACTCGAACTCCGACACATGGGCCGTATAGCCCGTAGCCAGTTGCTATACCGACTGCCCTTACCGTGCACTTTCTTTGTATTTGCTTATTGAAAGATAGCGAGATTCACGAAATGAAATTATAGAGGCAGCAACAGAATGAACAGATGAGAAATGTTACGTCATGTGATTATTCACTTATGCGAATCTCCTAAAAAACAAAGTAATTATTTAACTGGCTTACATTTCAGTGATAAAAAGATAAATACGTGTATTTTTAAATGACAGTTCGAAATCAGTTGCTCAATCTAGCAGTCGTCGAGTCGGGTTGTATCGAGTGCATGGCAGTGTCACCAGGAGATGTAAGTGTGATACTGCAGATGGCTCTAATTGGGAAATTGTGAATTGTGTAATTTGTAAGAGCGAGTGTTCTATAAATTCGCTATATCCAATACGGCATGAAGTTATTTGTCGCATGACCTACCCAACACATGACAATATAATTCCCAACGTATTATACTACCATTTGACGATATATAGTCAGAGACACAGACAGCATCGTTTAATAAACCACAAGTATATAAACGAGGGAGTTATTTAATTTTGGCGCCATTGTACGTCCATTCAGCACCATCTCTCCGCTCCGTTGTACGTCCGTTCAGTACCATCTCCGCTCCTTCGCTCCGGGTTTTACAGCAACACTTGCAAAGAGGTCATATGGAACGCGCATTGAAGATATAACCAATGTTACCAGACATGTTGAAAAGAGGGTCATCCACTTGTGTACTTCATTATACATTCGAACCGAAAGTATCACGTTACCTTACTATGTAGTTAGCTTAGCTGTAACCTGGATATCAAGTATATAAACATTTGATATGGGCGGTTCTAGATGTTACAGAACTTCAATGGAATGGAATATCTTCATTGTTAAGATCCATGAAATTTAATCATTTCTCTAGGGATATCGAGGAGGTTGTGTGGTTGAAAGTCGTACTGCCATGTAAATAGAAAATAGACGCGGTTGTGGTAACATCTTGCCACTGAAAATGAAACAGTCTAACAACACGAAGTATGAGAAATTACCACAGCTACATGCCGACAAGGAATTTAATGGAGAAACGATAGGAAGCCCGGATACTGGGAGCGAAAGAGCGGTGAGTGCTGTCAGAAGTAGGTCTGCTGATATTGATTATTGGCTCACGGTGGTTTCACCAGTACATTCCTGCATTGTATAAAGTATTATTTGGTGTTTCTATTTATATGAATGTTCAGATACGAAATATTCAAACAGAATTATATTATTAATACAAAATTGTCCGATAATTCTGTAAATGTTCTATGTGGATTCATTGAGGGAGCATCTTAGACGTTTTGAGAACTTTTCCAAATGCCACATGAATACATGAGAACTACGTTTAGGTTTGTTTTAAATTCGTTGAAAACTGTCTTTTTTTGAGTTAAATGTGCAGTGATGATAAAGAGGCATTTAATAATATTTAAGTTCTTGTACAAATTGAGATAATAGCACATTTGTTTAGGAGGAGCACCAGGAAATGTGGCTCACAACTAGTGAAGCAAGCACACTGGGTGCAGAAGAGGTAGCAGCCCGTCTCCGTGCGGATCTGCGGATAGGGCTTCGATGGAGGGAAGCAGAACTGCGGAGGCAGTTGGCTGGATATAATGAACTTACTGTTAGAGAGGAAGAGCCAACATGGAAGAAATATATAGAACAAGTAAGTGTTGTATATGTGGTTCTGAACTTAATTTCTCTTGTACAGGATGACTGGCACAGAGAAGGCTCCAAATTAATGATTAGAAACCTTGCAATAATTGTCAATGAAAGTGGATCTTGGTGAGTAAGCCTCAGTAGATGTGGAGCTAATTGGGTTACAGAAAATGGTTTCTCGCTGCCTGGAGACATCGGCTGACACGATGCTTCATGTCTGTAAATGTAGCAACTGGCGTGGCAGGAGGGCTTGCATACTGAAGGAAATTCTGTGAATTGGGCAGGCAGGCTCTGGGTCAGCATTGCAAAATGCAAAGTGTTGCCAAGTTTCATTTTCATTGATGCATTGATTGCATGATTTATAACGATTAATTTTAGTGGTTCTTTCAGGGAATGAACCTGTATTTCATCATAAACATAATCTGTTATTTTATTTTGTTTGGACAATTCAGTAGTATGCATTTGAAGATCTTGTCAATAATTGTGGAAGTTTTAACTTGTAAGAAACTGTATTGTTTTAGCTACAGTATTTATGAAGAGAAAAGCAGAGTGATTGTCAGAATGCAGTGTAGGGTGTACTTAGCACAGACTGAGAGGTGTGTATTCATTTGGTAGGAGTCCCCGGAAGAAATTATAGATCACAAAAATAGAAACTGGAGAATTATTCTGGCTATTATTACACATATTTAAAGAACACAGTTTGTAAAAATCAGTTGCAAGTACAGTTATACAAACTTTCTGTCATTTGTGTGTCAATGACTAAATTCTTTAAAAACAGACAGGGATGTGATATTGTGGTCAGCAATCTCGGCACAAGGCTATTATGTGAATTGTTCCAAACATTCAAAATTGTATGATAATTTTCTAAACAGTGTTGTAAACTGAACTATGATTATGACATTAATACTCCTGTTAGCTACATGTACAGTGGAACCTTGCTTAATGAGCACCTCTCATAACGAGTAATTCGCATAACGAGCAAAGCAAATTGTAAAAAAATGACTCGCTTAACCAGTGACGTTTTGCATAACGAGTGACGAGAGGGGAAGTCCCGGATTGTGTGCTTGCTACATCAGTGTGTGTTTAGCACTCGTTCCGCCAGCATCTTAGTGTCACTTGTGATCACACATTTTCCCAAACTTATGTTCAGACATATTATTTGTGATTTTTTGTGCACAGTTTAATAACCCTTGCAAAAATGCCCGAAGAAAAAGCCGCAAAAAGACAGCCATAAGAGAATAAAAATAACCATAGAAATGAAACGTAAAATCATTGAAAAGCGAGAACGAGGTGTGAGCGTGGCTGATCCAGCACACACATACAATCAACAATCTACATCAACAATTTGCACAATCCTCAAGCACAAGGACAAGATTAAGGAGATAGATGCTTCAAAGGGAGTGACAAGAATATCTACGCAACGGTTACGTATTCTCGACGATGTTGAAAGGTTGCTCCTCATATGGATAAACGAAAAGCAATTGCAAGGTGACGCTATTAACGAGAACATCATTTGTGAGAAGGCAAAAGTGATCTTCGCTGACCTCGTTAAGAAGATGCCAGGATCATCAACGGCCGAAGAAGAAGCATTTAAGGGAAGCCCTGGGTGGTTTGAGAAATGTAAGAGAAGACCCAGCATCCATAGTGTTGTAAGGCATGGTGAAGCAGCAAGCTCCAACAGAAGGGCAGCAGAGAACTTCATCAGCGACTTCAAGAAGCACGTAGATTCTGAGGGTTACCTGCCACAACAGGTTTTTAATTGTGACGAGATGGGTCTCTTCTGGAAAAAGATCCCGAAGCGAACCCGTATAACAGCAGAGGATAATGCATTGCCTGGCCATAAGCCAATGAAAGACCATCTCACGCTGCTATTTTGTACCAATGCAAGCGGTGATTTGAAAATTAAACCGCTGCTTGTTTACCATTCAGAAACTCCAAGAGCCTTCCAGAAGTGTAAAGTCCAGAAGAGCAGGCTAAATGTGATGTGGAGGTCCAACAACAAGGCTTGGGTGACACGTGACCTTTTTACTGATTGGATCAATGAAGTGTTTAGTCCTTCTGTGGAAAAATATTTGCTTGAGATGAATCTGCCACTCCATGTCTTGCTTGTTATGGACAACGCTCCTGCCCATCCTCCAAACCTAAAAGATGACCTCCTTGAAGAATTTAAATTCATTAAGATCCAGTTTCTGCCTCAAAACCACTCCGTTANTGCCAGCCTATGGACTATCAGGTTAGTTCTAACTTTAAGCACTCTTCGAGCATCGTTTTGAGGTGACTGAAGGGACCAATCACACTCTCAGAGAGTTTTGGAAATATCACTGCCACAGCGTTGCCTCTCTCAAGATGATCGAAAAGGCATGGGAAGGGGTTACCAAGAGAACCCTCACTTCTGCTTGGAAGAAGCTTTGGCCGGAGAGCGTTGTCGAATGTGACTTTGAAGGGTTTGAGATAATACCTGTGGTGCCTGTATTCAACGAGATTGTGTCTTTGGCCAATATCATGGGGCTGGGGGTGGATAACAGTGATATCAATGAGCTTGTGGAAGAGCACAGCCAAGAGCTGACCACCGAAGAGCNAGATTGGTTCATTCCGCATAGAAGAAAAGATGAAGATGATTCACGCTCCTTAACAATGTATATATAATTTTCTTTGAATGAACGTTATACATAAAATTTTTTGAGTATTTTTTTCAGCATGGAACGCATTATCGTATTTTACATTAATTTATATGGGAAAAATTGTAAGATTCTGGAACGAATTATGCTCGTTAAGTGAGGTTACACTGTATATCATAACCATACTAGCTTCTAACCCCCTAACTAAACTAATTCCATGAGAAGCTGATAGTTGCTCAGTCAGACAGCAAATTTCGAACCTTTATTAGATCCCAAAGGTTTGTTACCTGGAAAAGTTCCATCTTCTGGGATGTAGCCATATAGTCCATTGAAAGTTAACTGATGTTTCAAAGGAACATGTCACCACCATCTTCAGGGTTGAAAAATAAGCCAAGCAAGAAACCAGCATGAAGCAGGTAGCAAGCCGAGCAGCCTGCATGCCAAATTTTGGTTTAAATAGGAGAACAGGGGTGAACCCCAAGACAATTCATCAGTTCCTCTCGGTTCACTCACAGAGTAGAGTGAACGAATAGGAGTGAAACACCTCACCTGTTTCTGTTGGATCTGTCACAGAATGGAATTAACCAGTAGGAGACAAGACAAGGATAACTGATATTTTGTTCACTGGAGCCTGCCTCCAAGCACATAAATGTTGCAGTAGTGCTATAGATTTGTATTTGGAACATGCTTGGTTCAGATCTCAGTCTGAAAGCCAGCTATTCTGACCGAATTATTTTCTGTAATTTCATAATGCTGTGACAGTACCACAGTTAGCCAGCAACAACATCCTCTCAAATTTTCTCCAATTTTTCATCCATCAGTCTTGCTACCATTCAGTGCTATATAGTCTTAACTACTAGCAGAATCATAAAATAACCCATAAAAAAGAAATGTGAGCTCACCAAGTTCCTTTAAAATTCTTATTTTCTCATCTACACGTAGGTCTTCAAGAGGTCTTTTCCCTTCAGGTTATATGACCAATATTTTTTTCACATTTCTGATCTTTCTCATGCATGCTACGAGTCCTGCCAATTTCGTCATCCATTATTTAGCATCCTAATATTATTTGGTAACAAATACTAGTTATTATGCCCCTTATTTTGGTGTTTCTCCACCCTTCCCCGTGGTCCAAATATTCTCCTCTACATGCTAGTCTCAGTCTCAGTGTACAAGGTGCGACAGTTTCATTCCCGGAATGGCCCTGTGAAAGCAAAATTTGCTTACCTGTGCACTTGAAGCTGCTGTCGCCTTTGAAATACTCTCATTGTGAAGCTATGCACTTCATGAGACAGTGGTGCCACTGCCGGAAACAATCTTGAAAATTGTTTTCCAGAATACCTCACAGTAATATCCCGTTGTATTGAATGTCAGGAATGTCAGCAAATCTTTGTTCCTTCAGGGCATTTTTAATTTTTGAAAGAGCCAAAAATTGCAGGGGGCTACGTCAGGGGTATAAGGTGGATGGTCCATTTCTGTAATGTATTTCTTAGCCAGGAACTTGTGAACTCTTAACGCATCGTGCGCAAGGGCATTGTCACGGTGGAGAACTCAACACAGAAACTATCATTTCAATCGCTAGAAATATTAAACATAAAATCTTCCAAGCACACTTTAAATTTTCACAGGTGGACCTCCTGTATTCATCTGTAATCCTGGTTCCAATCCAGGTGCTTCCACCACTACTATTTATCTCGTAACTCATAACTAACTGAACTGTCACTCACACACTCACTCACTGTCACTTCTAGTTCAGTCTCTTCTCATGATTCTGCCACCGCTATTTCTCTCTTGTAGATCATAACTAACTCAGGACTATGTCACACATTTGTATAGCAGAGGGACAGACAACTCGTCATTGTAAACATATGTCACATGATTGCTACCCACTACTGTTGTGTGATGTCACTGACCTCGCAGGAACCATGTCATGTGATGGTCACATACTGTTGTGTGACGTCACAGCGTGCACGTTGCATAGCAACAGCTTGTCCGCGGACATGGAAAACACTGTTCCAATACTGTTGGCTGCGTGCGTGTTGCGGGTGTTGTCTAGCAACAGGTCTACATGCCACATTGTACCAGAGATCTTGTTCAACACATATGGAACTTTTCTTCTGTGAGATTGCTACCTTGAGATATATATATATATATATCCTCAAAGATATTTAGACACACAATATCCAAATGATATCCCCTTTTGCACCACCATTAGGATTATGGCGACCTTATACACTGCGCTGCATGATGTGTTTATGTACTGTATCTTAAAGACAGACTGATCACTACTGGCAGTCAGTTGTTTATAGTGACCTAATAATGTAACAGCAGTGGACATAGATTGTTTTGTGCATTAAAACATATATGGCCTCCTCACATCTACTGGGCAGACAGGACTGAAGGAAAACAGGTAACTGAACTAAGTTCATGAAGTTGAGTCCTTCACGAGAAGCTGCCATTAACTAAGCGAACTAAGTTGATGTAGTTGTGTCCCTCATGAGAAGCTGCAGTGCACTAATCTCTCTAGGAGACTGAAGAATTTTGTATTGTATACATCTGCATTTGAGTCTGTATGTTATCTTGTTTTATTCCAGTTCCGAAATCCCCTGATCATGCTGCTTTTAGCTTCAGCACTTGTGAGCGTGTGCATGAGACAGTTCGATGATGCAGTCAGCATAACTGTGGTAAGTTGGCTTTATACAGCTTTGGTCACACTGGATGCCAAGTTCTTATTATCATCTTTGTCATACGGCAGGTCACGGGATGCTCGATAGTGCACTAGTTAGTGTTACAGTTGCCGTAATTGCAACTCCACCTGCCAGGAGAGTTCAGTAACCGCCCGGTATCCTCTAACTTATCATTAGAGGCACATACGACCTTGTAGACTGCTGAAGTTTACATTTCCCTGCTATGTGTTTTACCATTCGGGGACATTCTGTTTCAGTTAAGGCCTAAATTATTAAATTTTTGAAAAGTAATGTTATGTAATTTAATTAACTCTCAGTTCTTGCCATCTGCTGTAATTAATGCTTTTATTACTGAGAAAATTTGCATAATAGTAATGTTTTAGACTCATATTTGGGAGGTGCTTGCGCTGAGTCTCTGTGAGTCTCAGCAGGGATGCTGGATGTTCAGAATGAGATTCTTTGTGATTCTCTGTAGTCCCTCCAGGCAGATGACAGGATAATTGTACCTCCTTTCTCAGTGCTTTCCAAATCATGTCATCCACCCACCTGACACTACATAGTCTAATTGTGGAATGCATCATTAAATATTCTCCCTACCTTTATTATCATTGCCTCCATGTAGAACAGATTGGATTCCTAGGGCATGTATGAAGGTTAGACTTTGGGAGCATATTCTAGAAGTCATTTGAAGCTAGGAAGTTCCATGAGCATTGGTTCAATGTACTATCACTGCCAATGCTGATGTCACCGTAACACATTTGCTTTATGTCTGATTCTTGTATTTCACTTGTGTAGTTGGTTTTCATTTTGCAAAATGTTCACTCAAATCTTAAAGTTGTTAGGGGCCATAAATGAAGCAGCTGCTGCAGCAATAAGAATGAAATGCGTAGAAAATTAGATTTTCAATGCCTAACAGCTTCTTTTCTAATAAATACCATTTCAGGAACCTAATTTAATTTTTAACGTTTAAGTTGATGATAATTCAGTTTGTGAAATTGATAATAATTTAACTATAAAACCTTAACATTGGTAATAAAAATGTGGAAAGGAAAATTTGTTTTATTCTATGCTACACCAGTCATAACTTGATAACCGAATGCACTGAATGAACTATTATGTGAAGTGTTCTTGTTCCATCTTGAATTGCAGCATGTACTGTTGTCTCTCTGTGCTGGCTACGGCTGGAAGGTTTAGGTCAATTGAAAAACTCCAGTGACCTCATTGCAAATTGAACCCATGACCTTCAGGCTTGTAGTATCATGCCTCAACCAACTGAGTGCATATGAAGGAAGGTCATATTGTTTACATCTGCTGTCTTGTTCAGTGCTGCCAACGTCACTTTTGAAGTAAACTTTATAATATTTTAGGTTCTCACAACAGTGGGTATTAAGATGACAGTCTTGTGTATTGTGACACTGTGTAGTTTGGCAGATTGGTGCCAATGTCTCCGAGCAACTTATCTACGAAACTACATTGTGAGACTTCCCAGGAGACTGCAATCCTAGTATTGCCTTCAATTTTTGACTTGTTAAGTCTGTACAAATATTGTGTGTGATTTGGTCTGTTAATGGAAGGAGGTATTGTCCAGTACAGCTTGGGGCCCTCTCAGAGGCAGTGCTGTGTGATCTGTATGATCAGGCTGAGAATTTTCTTTCCAGGCCATTATCATCGTTGTAACTGTCGCATTTGTTCAAGAATACAGATCAGAAAAGTCATTAGAAGAACTTACAAAGCTTGTCCCACCTACTTGTCATTGGTGAGTATAGTTCTTAAAAGTTCACCCATACTGTCTTCAGCTCTTACATTTATTTTACAGTGTATTTATTTGAAAATTCTGTCTAATTTTATTTCTTATTTTCTCTCTTCCATTTCTTGTCTGTTCTTATTTTAAAAGAATATAAAGATGATATATATATATTGTGGTTTTTAGTTAGTTAAATACAAACAAAGGGTATGTCACTGTTTAGAACTATACTGGTATTTCACTTCAGTGATTGGTATAGCTTTATGTTCAGGAGAATGAGTTTGATGCTTTTATGACAGTGATTTTAGGTTGTAGTGTCCTGGGTTGTGACATTGTGTAGTGTTGTAGTTGGGTACTTGTTCCACTCCTAAAGATGACACTGCAGCATTGGATTCATCCAGTATGTCAGTAAATATCTGGATGATTAAGCATTGTCACAATCCAGAAGACTGAATCCTGTATCATGAGAATGTGTGCGCGTGCGTGAATGCACACATACATACATATATGGTATCTCACACAATCTTGTATATAATTATTATTCACTTAGTGGGGGATGGAGTCTAACTAGGTCCACTCAGCACGGCGGCCCCTGATTGTCCTATTGTAGCCTGCCTCAAGTGATTAGAATGATGGAGAATTTGGTGGAATGAAGATTGGCAGGGGAAACTGAAGTACCCGGAGAAAACCCGCCCCAGCGCCACTTTGTCCACCACAAATCCCACTTGACCAGACCCGGGATCGAACCCGGGCCGCCAGCGACTAACCGATTTAGCTATGGCGCAGCCATATAATTATTATAAATTACATAACATCATATTACTTGACCTTAGATATCATCAATGGGGCACGCGGTAGTGCAGTTTGAGGCACTCAGCTGCAGCCTGGAAGGTTGCAGGTTCGATTCCAAATGAGGTCATTGGATTTTTCAATTGACCTAATCCTTCCAGCCACACCATAGTGCTGGGGTTGACTCAGACTCTATGAGTACCAGGAACCTTCCTGGGGGGTAAAGGGTGGCCAGTGCATAAGGCTGACAACCTCACCGCCATCTTTCAGCTGACTGTGTAGAGAATGTGAGAGCCTCGATGTCTCACAACCATATGGGTCTCCACAGCTGGTTACAGGGATAGCTTTACCTTTTTTTATTAATGTCCTGTTACAGGATGTATATTCTAATGCATATCTTGTTACCCGTGAAAAGTAAAGTTGTCCCTGTGCTCAACTAATTAAGCACTATGCCATGAAGGTGTATAGGGCAGTGGATGTATAAATCCACAATTTATTGACCTCGGCACTAGTTGGAGATGAGTGGTCAGCTTCACACCCCTTCTGCTTTACCCTTGGTGAAAAAGCCACCTGGTACCCATTGGATAGGAGGCTGGGTGGATCCAGAGCCAGTTTGAATGCTGTGGAGAAGAGAAAATTCTTGACACTACCGGGACTTGAACACCAACCCCTTGGTCATCCAGCCAATAGCCAGTCACTATACCAACTGTGCTATCCAGGCTCCTATGTTGTTACCTGTTCATGTTATTAATATTGATCAGTGTACTGGTAAGTTTGGTAAATGAATCAAAATTTAATAACTTTTGTATGAAATTGTAAAATATATTCATTCACACAGATCACCATTACAGTATGCAGTTTATGTACCTTAATGTACCTTGGCTGACTTTATCCCTGTGTCTTGCACTTCATGCAGTAACTTATGTTGTCCACTGTTGTGAATGTTTTGTTGGGTATTATGATATTATGTTGGTAATTATTATTTATGTATTCTGATGTTTCACTGCCCTTTTGTCTTTCTCTTGTAACTGTGGTTGTGTTATGTTTTTAATTTCATGTTTCATCTGGTGTTTTTGTTGTTAATTTATGATCTCATCATTCTTGATGCTGTTAGGTAGTGCTATTACAGCAGCATTATCACCTAACAGGTGTTATATGGAATAGGTGTACTTCAAATGTAAACTCATAGGAAGATCGTCAAGTGAGATCATTAATTAATTGAGAATATTGAGGAAGATGTGAAATTTTAAAGTATTAATGAAAGCTGTAGTTGGTTCTGATAAAACCAATTGACTGGTGCAGTGATATGTGTAATATGTACACTTAATACTTGTCACTAGCTCAGATGATAATATACGGTGAAATTCAGTGAGTTCAGCTTAAACTGTACTCATTTTGGTATACTTTGGTGTGTACACTTCTGAAGGTGTTTGTTTTCAGTTTACGTGAAGGTCAGCTGGAAACATTTCTTGCGCGTAATCTGGTTCCTGGTGATGTTGTGCACATTAATGTAGGTGACAGGGTGCCTGCGGACATCCGATTGTTTGAGGTATGTACAGTTTGGTAACTTGTATCACTTAAAGCGAAGAGGGTAAAATTTGTAGTTAATTGGTTAGACTATGTTCCTACAGCAGTAGATACATGATGTAACTTAAAGGTGTGGCACAAAAGTAATAATTAATTAACCCTTTCACTGCTAATATGTTAAGTAACTCTCAGTACCCTTTGTGCTGAATTATTTTTTAATAAATCTTTCATAAATAATTTAAGTGCAAAGTATGAAAATTTGTGATAAAATGTAAGTAATCTAACCTCGGACAGGGAACAGGCAGCAGAAGTTGCAAAAATGTGTAATTTTTCAGTATTTTTCACAAGGGAAGAGTCCATTTAACTCAGGGTTGTCCAGGATGGCCAAGAAAGTACATAATTCACTATCCTAGACTTACCACTATGTCGCATGTTGACCAAAGTCCATAACTTTATTTAAAACTATTATAGAAAGCACTGCGCACTATACAAAGCCATTTTTACTAGCCCTGTGAAATACCCGCGTCACATGACCACGGAGCGTGTGTCTCACTGTGCAGATGCAACCTTTTACATTTCTTAAGCTAGAGGGCAGAAGAATGCAGCTATTGAAATGAATGATGATGATTTATTACGTTCCCAGTAGATGACTCTATGCACCCGCCAAGTTTGAATGAGATTGGTATAAAGAAACCTGAGATTTGAAACTCTAAAGTTGCCATACGGGTTTTGTCGATCACAGCAAGGATGCCATGTTTTTCAGAGATCGACATATGTTGACTGCAGCAGCGTAAGGGTTAATATCCACATGGGTCAGAAAAAATCTCCCTTAATGACTCATAGCACTTTTTTCCTTTTTAAAGTATCTGACAGAGCATCATAATTTGCTGCTTGCCTGAGAGCAGTAATTTCGTAGGAAGCGCTGGAATGTCCTCTATGAACTTTAAAGCAGTACATAACCCATTTTGTCATTTACTGTTAAACATGTTTGGAACTTCTGGGGGATTGTAGATTATATTCAGAGCTGTCTTCATGTCCCTTTTGAGGAGTTACTACATTATCGCCTGCTTATATGGCTACAGCTTTTACTTACACCTCAGTCAAGATAGCTGGGATTTGAGTTGGGTGCTTCCGGAATGTGAGTCAGACACATTATTGCTTTTGCCAGTCCCCTCAGTTGAAATTGTTGATTATAATTACAGTGGTGGGGTAGCCGAAGGAATTTCAAAGCATCTCTTCACTTTTGCAAAGAGAATTTGAAACATTGGAAAGAACCCCTGCAAAATATTTCCATAAATATTTCTTAGTTCTGAACAAAGAACTGTTGTCAGTTATTAAGGTGTTACTGTGATGTATTCATGATATCAAACTACAGAGTTGTGTGCCTCAAATTTTTAAACTGACAGGCTGCACCTTTAGCTTACCCCCCATGAATGACAATATTTAAATGTATTCACTAATATAAAATGCCCTAGAAAATAGAACAATTAGATGGTATGGCTATATTGACCAAATGAAGGAGGAAAGGGAATCAAAATATATTTTACTTTATCACCACAAGAAGGTGAATGATACTTACTCATAAGCAGAAAACGTGGAAGTTTGGTGTTGGAAGGTGGTGGAGACTAGTAGAACAGATTGCTATAGGAACTGAAGACAGCAAAAACCATAAAAGGATATCAAGAACTGGAATTAAAACAAGAAGAAAGTGGGGGTGGAGGAGGATGACAACTACAATGATGACGGTGGTGGCGGCAGTGGCTATGAGGATGATGATGATAACAATATGAATCGTATATCGGAATTTAAGTGTCTTACCTTAGACCACAGGAATATTGAAGTGGAGCTTGGAGGTGACAACTGAACTCATCACGGTAAAAGTGCTACATACCTCATTGCTGAATATCAATGTGGTTGCCTTCAGAATACCCCCCTTGGGAAAGCTATGCAGTGATGCCAGCGCCTAGTCCACCTTCCAAAACAATTTTGGAACTGGTTTTGAGGAATGGCTTTCAGAGCTGCTGTCAAATTACTCCTGATGTCATCAGTGTCATCAAAATGCCTACCTTTCAATATTTCCTTTATCTTCGGGAACAGAAAAAGAGTCATTGGGGGGCTAGATCCGGTGAATATGGAGGGTGTTCCATCACAGTTATTTGTTTACTAGCTAAAAGCTCCTTCACAGGGAGCATTGTGTGAGCAGGTCCCTTGGGACCATTTCTGCGCGCACCTTCCTCATGTCAAGATGTTCAGTTAAGATTTATTAATTGTTTCTCTCTTGATGTTTGCTTGCTCTGCTATGCTCCTGACAGCCAACGATTTTCGCTTACAATTTGACAAACTTTTGCAATGTCTTCTTCAATTTTGCTTGTTGCTGGCCGTCCTGATCGCTCTTTGTCAGTGACACTTTCTCTTCCCTCAGTAAAATGTGTCACCCACTTGTAAACTGCTGTAACCCCATAAACATGCAGTAGCATCTCTCTGATTTCACTTCCACTCTTGCCAAGTTTAGCAAGAAATTTAATGTTCATTCGACATTCTCATGATGGCACACCAAAACACACTCAGACAATAATAAACACCACTCAGAAGAAAGAGACTGCCATAGATCAACAACAACACAGCTGTGAAAAGCTGATGTGCCAATGTCATCAAAACATACTGAGATTTCTGTCCACTGCTGCTACGGCAAGCACGTGGTGGTGAGTTTGTGAACTTTATTGTCAGACCTCATGTATTTATACTATTGTGCTTAAGCTGAGGGACAGCTTTACTATTTTGATGTGATAACTTGTGGATCTGTTGTTCATGAAATGAAGAGGTATTGTTCTTAAAGTAGCTTAAGTCAACTTATATAATTTGAAGGCTTCCTAATTTGAGTTATATGATTAATGAAGTATGTTGATCTTTGAATATTAAGATCACTGTTTTCTTAGTTGTGGTGTTGCGCCCTTTTGTAGGTACATAGCAGCATTTCAGAAGAACCTGTGAGCTCTCATCAGGTTCCTCTGAACTGCAGGTACCTACCTGTCAAACTACAGAATGTCACAGCCCAGAAGGCTATAATCTTAGTGTTGATCTTGTTTGTAGGCAATTGATTTAGCCATAGATGAGAGTAGCTTCACAGGAGAAACTGAGCCAGCAGCAAAGATGACAACTCCAGTGCTGAAAACAAACGGTCATACATCCAAGAAGAATATTGCATTCATGGGCACCCTTGTCCGATGTGGTAACGGCAAGGTATAAGCAAAAACATTTTATAATTCTTTTTCCACCACTGCTTTGATATGTAATATGAGACTTACATTGTCACGACTGTGTTTGACTATAGACGGGGTATGGATTGGATATTGGCACACTTGCACACACCACTCAGAACTCCAAGTAATTACAGCACTCTCACTAATTTCCGCACTTTACAAATCACTAGCACAAGCTAAGTCTTATTGGTCTTCACTTGTCATATCTTGGGAGCGGATTTTAACACATAATTATAACAGTCTCACTATAACTACACAGGGCATGCATAGCCTGAAGGTTGTGACTTATTTTTCTGATGAGGTAATTTGACTTTTTCAGTTTAGCTAATCCTTCCAGCTTCACTATGGCCCGGGGGTCAACTCAGCCTCTAAGAGAAATGAGTACCAGGAATGTGCCTGGGGATAAAGGGCAGTTGGCATGTAAGGCTAACAACCTCACTGCCATCTTGAGCCAATTGTCTAGAAAATATGGGAGCCTTGGCATCTGAGAACCCTATGGGCCTCCACAGCCTGTTACAGGCATAGCTTTACCCTTTATCCTTTACTGTAACTACAGCACACATAAAGTCTTCTTTTTAGATCTGCACTCTTGCAGCTAACTCTTTTCTTCAAAGCCAGACTCTCAACTCTCAACTCTCAACTAACTGTAGTTCTGTCTCTTCTCAGCCTCCCTTGCAGAGCTCAACTGAACTTCCAACCCTCAAGCAACTGAACACTCAGTTATCTTCCTTGTAACCATTTTGCACAGACTGAATAGAAAATACTGTGTTTACCGATCCGTTGCTTGGAAATGGGTTGCATAAAACCATTGTTCTGTTGTTGCTGGCATTACTAACAATGGTCGCTGTTCACAGAGTCACCGCTTAGGAATGGGTCTATATGCTACAATATGCAGCACTTTGAAGCATGGAATTAATCAAAATAATGTTTAAACATTCAGTTTTCAGTTGACCTTGGAACATGACTTTGTCCCAGTTCTTGCTGCAATAGAAGGGGATGGTGAATACAAGGAAATATAATATTAACCCTTTGGCGCGGTGATTTAAATTCCGCTGCCGTGTCTCTCCGGCGGTAATATTTTCAGCCGGCCATTTAAATTTTGCTCGTAAATGATTTATTTGTCATNGAAGGTAGTCAAATTGCTGTGTTTTGTGAGAATCATAGGAAACACACAAGTGCACTCTGTCAGCAAAATGCAGAATTTGTGTCTGTTAAAGTAGTTGGTAGGGGGCACTATGCTACAAGCCGGAAGGTCGCGGGTTCAAGTCCCGATGAAGTCATTAGATTTTTTTCAGTTGACCTAATCATTCCAGCCGCGCTGTGGCCCTAGGGTCGACTCAGCCTCTAACAGAAATGAGTACCAGGAATTAATTAAATAATTTATAATTAATTATAATTTATTATAATTATTATAAGTAATAANTGTTCAGGGGATTGTAGTAAACACAGGAGAAAAATCTGAATTTGGTGAAGTTTTCAAGATGATGCAAGCTGAAGAGGCTCCAAAAACCCCACTTCAAAAGAGCATGGATATTTTGGGAACCCAGTTGTCTTTCTATTCATTCTGCATAATTGGTCTCATTATGGTCCTCGGATGGATTCAGGGGCGACCCATTCTGGATATGTTCACTATTGGCGTCAGGTAAGAATCAAATTGTATGACCAAGATGTTTAGTTATATTTACTGTCATATAGGGAGTGAGGGGTCATCAACAAAAAACTTTATAAATAAATAAAATTAATACTAAGATGTTAATACTCTTTTATTTTCTGTTCCACTACATGTTAAGATCTGTGTCATCATCATCAGGTGATTACAACAAATGTGTGTCATTGCAGAATTACTGAACTAATATGGATCCATACTAGTGAGCATCATAATTATAAACAAAGAATAGGTAAAGATATCCTTGTAACAGGCCAAGGAGGCCCATAGGGTTGTGAGATGTCGAGGCACCCACATTATCTAGCCATTCTGTTCACAGATGGTGATGAGGTTGTCAGCTTTAGGTGCCGGCTGCCATTTTACTCCCAGGTAGATTCCTGGTACTCATTTCTGTTAGAGGTTGGGTCGACTGGAAGGATTACATGAATTGAAATACCCAGTGACATCAGGAATTGAACCCACAACCTTCTGACTTGTAGCATAGTGCCTCAACCAACTACACTAGTCCAGCAATTCAGTGTTGGCAGTTATGTATGTATTTATTGTAACCACATGATGATGATGATGATGACGACGACAGCGGCAGTGATGACAACATTAATCGAAGCATGCAGTGGTATAGAAAATAGAACAGTATTAACGCATTAGTATTACTTTTATTTGTTTGTACAGTGTTGTGTTGTGTTCTGATGTTATCTCCCAGAAGATAGAGCCCTTTGTGACCATCGCTGCTAGAACCTCAAATCCTACATTGTGTAGTCTGGTTTCACAGGATGTATACCACCTTGAGCATCAATGAATAAGCCAGGCAAACAAGAAGCTGAGGGGTCAGTGAACTTCTACAAGGCTGCAATAGTATCACATCCCTGAAGCTGATACTCTTCAGTGTGGGCACCAATTATGTCCTTCTAGGCTTTCCATCGAAGATTATCATTATCTCTCGTTCAGTACTGTACAACCTCTATGGCTCAGTCAGTGGGTTCTTGACGTGGTCTTAAATTGCTAATGCCTTGTGACATTTGGTATATTTTTTGGTCATTCTTGTTTCAGTTTGGCAGTAGCAGCAATTCCTGAGGGCCTCCCAATTGTTGTGACAGTCACATTGGCTCTGGGAGTCATGAGGATGGCAAAACGCAACGCCATTGTGAAGAAACTGCCCACAGTGGAAACTCTCGGTAATTATATATATACATGTGTAGTTATAAAATTAAAACACTTCTGCATTAGTGATGCACCTCCCCACAACAGGGAAGTGAGGAAGCGACTACCACAAGGGTTGATATAGGTCAAAGTGGGTAATGTGGGGCACAAAGACAGGTTAAATAAAGACAGTACCATGAATGGACGGATGAACGTAATAAATCTAACAACACTTATAATGAAAGCAGCAGTCCAGTTGAATAAATAGTAGTTATACAAACTGAAATCCCACAGCAAATCAAATTTTGAAGCCGAATAGATACGAAGAAATTTGGACCGAATCATGATGTGAGCTGCGCGACTGGGAGAGAGAGAGAGAGTGAGTCCGAGGAGCATGCTGACGAGGCCAGGACAAGGCAGGAGTTGAAGGGAGTAGAAGGGGAGGAAGGGAAGGTATAGACAGGGCGAGACAGCGGGTGGGCAGGCGCGCACGTGTGTGTACGTATTACTTTCCTGCAATTTGCAGTATTGACTTGGTAAATAACTTGCATTTAGAGTAAGAAATTTTCAACTGTCCACAACTTTTACATCAGTTTACTTTAATTATGGGTGAAATAAGAATCAGTATTCAAATTTTTTCTGTGCCAAAAATTGTTCCACTGAAACGCTGTGTTTATTTTATATGTAAGAAATTATTTTAGCATAATCGTATAAACAAATCTTATAAGAACTTGATGTTTGTTGATGTACTTTTGTACTCCCCTACCCCACTCCATTTACTGAAATCCTCAATATAATGTAAAAAGAGTGGGTTTTTTTCATATATTCTTTAAATATGGATTTCACTGCATAACGAATCTGCAGGTATGATCATATCTGTTTTTTTTTCTTTCAGGTTGTGTAAATGTTATTTGTTCAGACAAAACTGGAACCATTACAAAAAATGAAATGACAGTCACTGTTATTGTAACATCTGATGGTTATCTGGCCGAGGTGAGTCTGCTCGCTGTACAAGAATGTCTCTCAAGATTTAAAAAGTTTGAATTCTTTCCTCATATGAGAAATTATTTTGTAGCACTGTTACTTTAATACCAAGAGTGAAGCTTGGAGACAGTGAGAACCTTCAGAGTGCTATCATCCAGAAACAGAATCAGTATTAACTGACGCCGGCGCTGAATGACGACGACTGTTGTTGTCTTCTTTCCCAGTACTTGGCCTGTTGACACCTGTTTTGGATATCACAAAACATATTTCTTTCAAAAGTTTATGGGATTTTCTCTTTTTGTATTTGCATTCTGGCATTGTTTTATTTCCACTTTCTTTTTGTGTTACCGTAGGTGGTTGAGGCACTATGCTACAAGCTGTAAGGTTGTGGGTTCAATACCTGATGAGGTCATTGACTTTTTCAATTGACCTCATCCTTCCAGCCACATTATGACCCTGGGGTCAACTCAGCCTCTAACAGAAATGAGCACCAGGTACCTTTCTGGGGGTAAAGGGCAGCTGGCATGTGAGGCTGACAACCTCACCGCCGTCTGTGAGCCGATTTTCTGGAAAATGCAGGAACCTTGACGTCTCTCAACTTTATGGGCCTCCACGGCCTGTTACAGGGATAGCCTTACCTTTACCTTACCTTAAATGTATGTTGTACTGACTGCAGGGATTTAATTTCTTCTTAATTCTGTAAATTCCCTTACTTGTGAAGTTTGTAGTTTTGTCATAATTTCTTCTTCAGTCCAAAAGGGTGTTATCCTACAGGCCACATGAAATGCATTTCTTTTGATACAAGTTACCTCTCATCAGTTCTTATTTTCCATTATTTACTACCATAAAGTAATGTTGTTTGAGCAGATGTCTCATAAATTCCAGATTAACTGTTACAAGAATATAAGTAAATTTGAAATCTCATTTAATAATTGCATTTTAAGGATGTCTGAAGTTTACAGTGATATTAGTTAATTTAAACACCTGCTTTTGTATGTGTAATGTTTGTCTGAAATTTAAGATTCAGGACAGTTATATTTAGAGAAATATTGAATGAACTATTTGGAGTTGGTCGTAGTGTCGTAATGCTGCTGTCTGGTGTCACAGTATTTCATGTGCAGTGTATTTTTACTTATAGGTTTCTGGTGCAGGTTACAATGACCAAGGAGAGATCCACATCCATAAATGTGACAGTTTTGAGAGAGCTCGAGAATCTATATATACACTTCTGGAGGTGAGAGCTTCTGAAACTCATGACCACTGTGATACCTGTTGAAAATTCAGCAGGAAGTCTCAGCCTTTGTTACATACAGTTTTGTACTATTAACTTTCCCTGCCTTCTCTAACATTCCAGTCCTGCATGGTATCAAATGATATGTCAATGTTAAATGTCATCTCCCATGATTAAAATGCACACATAGGCAGTCATTAACTGTCTGTTTTGTATAGTATACAACATTTGAATATCCACATCAAAATATTATCAGCAGGACCCGGATTTTGATGACATGTCATCTTTCTTTCCTTGTATCCTGTGTGATGCTCTTAAATATATAAATCTCGGATATGAGCTGTTGGTTACAGAAATGTAAATGTAATGTATTTCTTGTCATTTTTGACCATTTTAGGGAATTTTTCTTCATATGTTTTCTGAAATGTGAATAATATGGAAGTGAAGTGTTCCTTCTCTTTCTCCTTTAGGTAATTTTTCTGGATCTTTTTGGTCATTTTTTAAATATTTTCAGGTCATCAAAATCCAGGCCCTGCATATTACATTTTTGGGTCATATTTTAGGTCATTTTTCTGGATTTTTTTGGTCAATTTTTCAAATATTTTCAGGTCATCAAAATCTGGGGCCTGATTATCAGTAATCACAGAATAGACACGATGCACTGGAAAATAAAACTGCTGGCTCATTTGTGAATAACTATATAACTTATGTTCGTGCACTGTGTTAACTCTTGACAGTTTGTCACTATGGCAATGTGAATGTGCATAATATAGTATCTTTCATCTCACCATTACATTATTTTTATGTATACAAGAACAGTACTTACTATCCTGTTAACTAAATAACCCCATGGAACAGAGTCGTTCTCAGGAAGTTAATAGTCATTGGTTAATCAACAAATTCCTCACCATTTATGAAACCTGCAAGTATATTACCACTCTTCACAGTGATCATGTGGTCTAAGGCATTGACTGTCTTTGCTCGCTTGAACGCTGGGATTGTGCGTTCAAATCCCACTGAAGGCATGGATGTGTGTGTGCATTTATTGTATGTATGTGTTGTTATATGTGTAGGTAGTGGCCTTGTGATGGGCTGATCCCCTGTTCAAGGAGTCCTACTTACTGTGTGCAGGATCAAGACACTGAAAAATTGACGAAGGTCCAACAAATGACTGTAGGGCCATAGATGGGTAGAAGGTGTATTACTGTGTTCACGAGAGTCTGCCACTGCATCCTGTGCTGGTCCGAGGACTTCATGCCACACCCTACCAGCTCATTCTTTAAGATCCATATTAATATCTTTCTCTCATCAACACTTTGGTGGCTGTGCTGTGGATACATGTTGACTTACCACCACGGTGGCCCAGGTTTGATCCCAGGTCAGGTTGTGTGGGATGTGGTGGATGAAGTGGCACTGGCTTTGGCTTTCTCCAAATTTTTCAGTGTTTCCTGCCAATTCTTATTCCACCAACACATTCGTTAACCACCCTATCATTTGGCGTCATATAGTCTCATTACTGACACCAGTGTTACATAAGAAACTTGTATTCTGTAGGGAGGGAACTGTTGAAGCATTACTATCAACATATGTAGGTCATTTCAGAAATAATGCACACAATTTTTTGTTATGTCCATATTTGTTTTTTTTATATCTTTTTGCAGTCCTTCACTATAGTCCCCCTGCTTCTCAATGACCGAGTCCCAACGTGTGGGAAGCTTTACTATTCCATCCAGGATACCATCTTTGTTTATCTGTCGAATGGCTCGGGTAACTGCAGTAGAAAGTTCTTCCAGAGAGGGAAAACGAAGACCTCGCATACGTTGTTTCAACTTTGGGAATAAGTCAAAGTCTGGTGGACTCATGTCCGCGCTCATCAGGTGGTCAAAAAATTCCACCTTTTCGTCTTGACACTGCTGCAAAAGTTTCTTTGCCACAACCATCCATTGCTGTTTTTATGCTGTTGGTGTCAATAATCGTGGCACCCAATGCTCAGCGACCTTTGTCGTGTGTTAACTCGTCATGGGCGATGTTGAAAGCTGACCCATGACTAATGTGAACCTCATGAACAATAGCTTCGATAGTTATGTGCCTGTTGGATAGCATCAAAGCCTATGCCACAATTCCCAGTTCCTCAGCGAGAAATGGTCTTCCACTTCAGGGTTCATGTTCGAGGTTTGTCTGTCCACAACGAAAGTGCCTCTTCCACCCGACTGCTGTGTCGTATGACAGTACACCTTCCTGATACACAGTGGTCATCTGGTCGTGGATCTCCCTAGCAGACTTCCCTTGCAAATGCAGGAACCGTATCACAGCATGAGCCTCTACTTTCTCAACTGGCATCACCATTTTGCTTATGCCCCTTCCGGTGGCTCCGTCTGTCCACTTGACATGTGAAAATTTGACTGTTCGGCAAGCTCAGGAAATGGGCTATCTCATATATGGAATGATATTTTGGAATTATGATTTTCTCATGGTGATAATTAAAACATTATGACTTCCCATTGTAAGTGGCCAGTTATGAACTAGGTAATTCAGTATTTTTATAACATTTTTCACAGATTGAAACCAGTTCTAAGGTTATAGAAATAAAGTTACCAACCAAGTAACTGCTCTCTAATCTCTTTCCTGTTCCAGGTTGGTTGTGTGTGTAATAATGCAGTGATAAATTCTGACACTCTTCTTGGACAACCCACTGAAGGGGCTCTTCTTGCTGCTGGCATGAAGGTATTTCCCCTGTTCACCATAAACTGTGCTATCTTGATGTAATTATATGTCCTACAACAAATTTTGAAGGAAGAAGTATTTTAAAAAGAAAGTCACTAGCAAGTACTTCTTAAGAAGAACACAGAAGTTGTTATGAAGTCTCATGTTAGTTACTGATATTTGTTCTTATTTCATAATTGTGCTCAGATGTAACACACAGATTTGGAATTATAGAAGTTTTGTATTTTCATTATGTGAAACTTTGAATACTACCCTTCCCCTACTGTAGCAGTTGAGGTATTCGTTAGTGGTACTGTATCCTGTAAATAATCTTGTGATATTCCAGAGTTTTTGACTTTTTTAATTTTTATAGTGTGATATGACTCTCATGCTTAAAGTTACGTGTAAGGTGTTTTATACCTCAGATATATAACAGTCTGTGTGTGCATGCGATTTACAGTTCTCATTTTGATCATAAAACAAGTTACCTCAATGTTGATCAGTACTGTCTTTTGGGTTATAAGACCATGAAGTCCAGCGGAGCTGTGCTCTGTGAACTGCATGCTTGTTGCTGGTTTTGTGCTTGGCTTACTCTTCAACCATGAAGATGGAAGGAGTACTCCTCTGAAATGTTGGTGGAATTCTACCAGACTACACAGCATTAAACCCAAAAGATAGTACTCTTCATTGTCACTGATGATCAAAAAGTGTAAAATGGGTGTGAAAATGCCAGTTTCCTCTGGTGGTTTCTTGTGGTTGAATTCCCTGTTTAGTGTTTTTATTATTTGCCATGTTTACAAGGAAAAGTAGGAAGAATGTGAAGGAAGCAGTCTTCTGGGATTTGGCACCATGTATATGTGGTGTTAACCAACGTTTTGGAGGAACGTATCGCCTCCATCTTCAGGGTAGAAGGAAAAATATAAGAAATCCGCAGGCGAAGAGATCGTCTGCAGTCTGCTTTTACCGGTTCTCACAGTCTCTTTGCCTGCGGATTTCGTATATTTTTCCTTCTACCCTGAAGATGGAGGCGATAAGTTCCTCCGAAACGTCGGTTAACACCACATATACACGGTGCCAAATCCAAGAAGACTGCTTTCTTCATAGTCACCGCCGTGAAAACCTCAAATCTTACATAGGAAGAATGTGTCTCTTAGTTTGGTCATGTCTGTCTTCATGTAGCTACTTTAGAATCTTTGAGCAGACTTTCATGAAATTTGATATTGAGGAGTTTTGCTAAAACCACGACATGTTCTAATTTTTGTTAAAATCAGACACCGACAGACACATACGTGAAGCTCTACGTGTACTTTTGCGTGCATTGAGTGTATCTTTATATTTATTGGCATTAAAACTGTTTCAAATAAAAACTGTAGAGAAAAATGGAATCCATATATTATGCTGAATACACTTTTCCTTAAGTCTCAAGTTTTTTGAGGTAATTAAACAGAATTTTTATGTTTTGTGTACACTTTCTAACTTATTTCATTACTTCTAGTATCTTCACATATTGCTTTTAATGTTTTTTTAGGAAATGAATAATATCAAACACATAAATGCACAAATTGCTATAGTAGTATAATAATGTATGTTGAATATACTGTTTCAGCATGGAATGTATGCTGTGGCAGACAAATATGTTCGACTTCAAGAATACCCTTTCAGTTCAGAACAGAAAATGATGGCTGTGAAATGTGTTCCGAAGTATGGAGATGTGAGTTAAATATAATTTAAATAATTTTGTAATTCATGTTGCGCAATTGTATGCAGGAGGAAGTCATCTGAGAGCCTCCCAAAAACTCCTTGGGCTCTTTGAGCAAGAGGGTCACAGGCTTCTCATCATCTTGCACCAAGCGCATTCAGACTTATGGTACCAGCAGGCACCATATCACATGCAAAACTTGCCCACATTATAGTAGATGTCAGAAATTGTCCCTGTTGATATGCATTCCTTGCAACTCCATACATTATTTACTTTCATGCATTGATGTCCCTTCTCAGAAGTAGACTGAACATGAAACTTTAATTCCTCTGCAAGGAACCTGTAGAATTGTCAAGAAGAATGTTTGATTCTAGCATTGATTTCAACCAGTTTCTCCTAATTGAGCGCTTGGCATTTTATTTTCATTCTTATTTCTGATTGGGGTTTGGAGGGAGGGTGGAGGCCCAGTAACAACCATGTAAGTTAAACTGAATGAATCGTTTCTGTGCTCAGAACTGTAACATCTTCAAATTTATGACAGAATCTTCTCCTTACTTTTCATATTGGTACTACATAAATGCTTCTTTCCAATTTCAGTAACTTGACATGGTATTTCAACACAGGAAGTAATGTATGTTGTTTTGAATCCTGTTGTGTATTGATTAAGGGGGTTAAGTGTGGCAGTCAAACACAATGCTTTTGTAAGTAAATAGAACTGATATTAACTGATAACACTCTTTTACTTTCTGCTCCACTACATGTTTCAATTAGTGTGATCGTCATTGTGTGGTTATAGAAAATACGTAGTTGTTGTCACTGAATTGCTGGACTAATGTGGATCCATATTAGTCTAGCAGTTTTGTATTTATTGTAACCACCTGTTGATGATCAGACCAATCAAAACATATAGTGGAGTAGAAAATAAAACAGTGTTAACACATTGATATTGAAGAAAGCAGTCTTCTGGAATTTGGCACCGTGTATATGTGGTGTTAACCGACGTTTCGGAGGAAACGTTGGTTAATACCACATATACACGGTGCCAAATCCCAGAAGACTGCTTTCTTCATAGTCACTGCCGTGAAAGCCTGAAATCTTACACATTGATATTGGTTTTATTTACTTATGAAATGTTGTATTCTTGGCCACACTAAACCCCCTTTGGAAATAATGTGACTGATTGAATGCTTAGTACAGTAGCTGGGACTTAGCCTGTGATCGTCAGGCATGTAGCACATAAGCTTGCTTCACAATAGGTATTAAAATATTTACTGGGGCAACATTGGAGAGAAATTGTAATGTGTACAGGCTTTCCCACGAGTCTGAACACATAATGTGAGATGTCTTACCTGACCATCTGAAGGACTTTTGGGAGGCTCTTAGATGAGCTCCACGTATATATATCATGTTTCACAACTTGAGGGAAACAGACGTTTTAATTGAAAATTATTAGTTTTAATGAAGCTAAATTTAGTTAAGGTTCTAATTAAGAGCCGGGATAGCGACTGGCTATGGGCTGGACGACTGACAGGTCAGTGTTTGAGTCCCAGTAGGGTCAAGAATTTTATCTTCTTCACGTCATCCAGTTCAGCTCTGGGGCGCATCCAGCCTCCTCTCCAAAGGGTGCTGAGTGTTCTTTCCCTGGGGATAAAGTGGCTGGGGTGGGAAGCTGACCACTCACTCCCAACTAGTGCCGAGGTCAAGAAAGCCTGGGTCTGTACATCCACTTCCCCATACATCTTCATGCCATAGTGCTTGCTTACATAATCGCAGGGACAACTTTAGCTTTTACCTTTTTTTTAGATTCTAATTTGTACCTCACACTTTACATGTGTGTGTTTGTATAATGTCCTATTGTAATGTGTATATATTTTCTTAGACATCTTTTAACACTTGAGACTGAAAATAATATCCTAACATTGTGACTAAATACTGCATGAAAAATATTTCCTGTTGTGGAGTTTTTTTATGCTGCTCATACCTCAGTCACTGTTGCTGTCATATCTATATATTATTGTTTCTGTCCTTGTAGAGTAAAGAAGAACTTTATTTTGTAAAAGGTGCTCTGGAAAAAGTGCTACAACAGTGTACAAAATATGCAGCAAATGGAGTTCATCACCCCCTGAACACGAAGAAAGAACAAGATTACCTTGCTGAAGCATATGAAATTGGAAGGAAAGGACTTAGGGGTAAAGTAATGAATATACTGAAGAGATCTTCTGGGATGTGATGCCATGTAGTCTGGTAGAACTGCAAGCAGCTGCATGCTTTTTGCTCCCTGTATTCATAGTAAACTTCAACCCTGAAAATGGAGGCAGTATATTCCTCTAAAATGCCTGTGAGCTCCTGCCAGATTACACAGCATCACATCCTAGTAAGTAGCATTTTTATGGTCACTGTTGGGTTTATAGTTGACTTGGTTTCGCTAATTATTCGTGACAGACAGCTGCTGTATACTTGCTCAGCTCATGTTGAATGCTGTAAGTGCAAATGCTGGGCATATGCAAAGCCAGAATATCTCTGATGATGTCTATAGCAATGGACTTGACTTGTTTTGGATATTGTCCAGTGCCTTGAGTATTTTTCATATTCATCTGGGACCATCCAGACAATCTTGATTAGTGGACTGTGTCACTGAACAAATCAACCTTTCTCCATTACAGTGGTGGTGAAAACAGGTTCAATTTCCAAAATATTTTGTTTGAAAAATGCTCAAGACACTGGACAGTGTCCAAAATGAGTCATATTTAATGCTGGGCTTATAGGATAGTTTATAATTGTTTTTATTCGGTTGCATTAAAATCTTCCTGGGTCATCAGCTGCGTTAATGTTAAGTTGCAATCTGACATTTTCAAGGGACTATGTGGGGAATGACCATGAGTTTCTGTTTATATATATTATACATACAAGGTGTCCCAGGAGGAAAGGTGAGTATTGTAGGAGGTCATAGTATCAGTCATTCTAAGCAGAATGTGTATATGTACAAGTGTCCTATTCCGAAAGATTTCTGAGATAGAGCTATTTCACTGTACAGTTCCAAAATTGTTGATAAGAAAGAGAACTTACATACTGTTTCTGATACCAGTATTTATTTTTCAAGTGACAATGTTGGTACAGTTTGCCTAGGATAATATATTTTTGAAATTTCGACTGTCAACATCAGTGTACTTTGCAACTCGTGTGAGGACATGGCGTGTTGCTCATCTGTACAGTGAAATAGCTCTATCATGGAAACTGTTCAGAATAGGACACATGTACATATACACTTTTTTGCATGGAATAACTGATACTATGACCTCCCAGACCCTTCCTCCTGGTACATGCTGTATATCAGTCTGTTAGTACAGTACCTCCTCCTTACTGGCACACTAGTCTGCAGGAGGTCAGAGTCAAATTGTGCGAGCATTACTTGGTTGCAGATCTGGCACCTTCTTGCTTATCCTGGAATCTTCACATGGGGCACGATTTGACTTTAGTCCCCCAGTCACTTAGTGCATCAGTAAGGACAAGACATCACATTGATGTACTGATATGTATTTATATACAGGGTTAGCCTAAAAGAAATAGACACTTTCAAAGTTTTACAGAAAGTAGAGTTTTAATAGCATGGCCGAGACACTTACGTGGTTTGAAAAGTATGCCCTGAAGTTTACATTGGTAAGTTACAAGTGTTCTATATGTGATCCTTTTGTAACACGACAAATATCAATGCTATAGTCTAGTTCTTCCCAAACGCTTCTCAGCATGCCCACATGAGCAGTCACAGCAGCTACTGTGATGCGTTAAGATCGTCCGCACTTGTAGAGAGGGGAGAAACATAAATTCTGTGCTGTATGTACCCCCTTAGAAGAAATAGTCACAGGGTCTTAAATCCGGACTTCTTGGTGGCCAACATTTAAGAGCCATGTTCTGGGTGGTTGGACGTCCAGTCCAACGTCGAGGCAATTTTTTGTCCAGGTAATTTCTAACTTCAGTGTGCCAGTGTGGCGGAGCGCCATCTTGGACAAATGTGAAATTGTCAGTGTTTCTTGTAGTTGAGGCACCAGCCACTCATGTAGCATGTCTAGGTAGGTTATTCCATGCACTGTTTTTTTCCTGGAAAAAGAATGGTCCATACGCCTTCTTACAGGATACAGCACAAAAAACATTCACTTTAGGTGAATCCCTCACATGCTGTACTACAGCTCTTGGGTTTTCAGTTCCCCACATACGAACGCTGTGTTTGTCCACTGTACCACTAATGTGGAACGTTGATTTGAAACTAGCCGGTTAAAGAAATCATTACTTCCTTCATTCTGTTTCTGCATGTCCATACAGAATGAGTGATGGAGGATTTTGTTATTTTCAGTGAGGTTCTGCAATAATTGCAAGCAGTAAGGGAACATTTGTAAATGTTAAGGGCACTAACGTGATTCTGACATCACAAAGACAAACAAAAAGCGAAGGTCAAAATTTTAATTTATAAAGCATTTAAACTGTCTATTTCTTTTAGGCTAACCCTGTATATCAGTGACTTATGGTCTTTCCCCACATTGACCCCGATGATAAGGCAGAAGGAGTCTGCAAAATGTTAGTATTTAAGTCAGCATTTATGTAGCTCATCACACAAAAAAGACTTCAGTGCATTCATATGCCATGAAAGCTTCAATTCTTTTATTTAAGTTGTTGGTATGGCACGAGGATCTTCACTGCAGGACTTGGTGTATGTGGGTTTGGTTGGAATCTGTGATCCACCTCGTCCATTTGTCCGCGAGAGCATTCAAACCCTCCTGCAGTCTGGCGTGAAGGTTAAACTTGTCACTGGTGATGCACAGGAGACAGCAACAGCCATTGGTAAGGCCCAGAGATATATAAAATATTTGTAGTTCTGTTCTACTAACATAAAATATCATAATGAGTCCAAGCAGTTTCTGTTGTGATATTATATTTAAGCATCCTGTTGCACTATACACTTCTATATGTAATAATACAAATGCCGTCATGAATGCAACAATTTATTTGGTTGTAGTTCCTTGTCTTTTCTTCCTCTACACTACATGTTTCATCTGTAACTGGTCATCATCAGGTGTATTTTTCACTACGTAGCTGTCACACTGCACACAGTCCAAAATCTAAAACACCAGCCTGTCAGTTTAGTTTAAAATCTCGCCAACATACGCTCATCAATTTGATTTTAGAATTCCAGTTTAAAATTAATTTTTTTTTAAATTTAAAATTCAAAATTTAAAGTTTTAAATCACAGGGATACCTGCTCTGTGTCTACATGTGCTGCAGCGGCTATTTCTTGTTTCCGGCACCGTTCATGTATTGTTCTGTGCAGGCTCCCTGTGTGTGTGTCACTGCTCACCTTTAATACTTTTGCCATCTGGTGTGTTGTGTGCTGTGTTTTTATTTTGTTGAGTGTAGGAGAGGAAGGGGCAGTGGGGAGGGGGGATACCGTTACTCCACTGCCCCTTCCTCTCCTCTTTACCCCCAGGAAGAGAGCCCCCCAGTACCCAGTGAATAAGAGGTTGTGTGGGCTCCAGATCTAGTCTGGACGCTGTGGAGAAGAGAAAATTCTTGACCCTACTGGGACTAGAATTGTGACCCCTATTGTTCAGCCCATGGCCAGTCGCTATACCAACTAACTCTCCCGGCTCATTTCTGAGGGCAGTAATGTTCATAAAACTATTTGTTTTTTAATTAATTTTGCATTTTCTATTTCAGCGTCTATGATTGGACTTGATACAATTCACTCACAAGTTCTCTCTGGAGACCAGATCGAAACAATGCCCGAGCACCAGCTGGAGCAGGCGGTGGGCAGTGTGAGTGTGTTCTATCGAGTCACACCGAGGCACAAGCTGTGCATTGTCAAGGTGAGATATGACAGGAATTTACATCTGAACCCTGTCACTGCTGAGTAAATAAACCCTAGTGTAACTTCCTGCACCGAGTTAATTTTGTAATGCTCATTTATGAAAATAAAGGGAAATGAAGTAGAAACTTGAATGGTACATGCATACTAAAACTTTGTAGTGATCAGATTTCTTCTTGGTTTATCACTATGAAACCTATTCCTACATGAACACTGCATGGATGTGTCTCCACAGACAATAAGGCATTGTGCCTCTTGCTGTATGGACTTCCTATACTTGAAGCACTTCTTGTGGTGTCTTCAGAAACTTCATACACTCATAGATCAAGTTAATTCTTCCAAAAATGCCAAATTGGTTACTGTGTTTCATTTAGTCTACTAGCAGTAAATTTCTGAAAGAGTTGATTTCTTTTGTAATGTCCCTGTAAAGGTAAAGTTGTCCCTGTGCTTAACTAATTAAGCACTGTGCCATGAAGGTGTATGGGGAAGTAGATGTATAGATCCATGTCTTCTTGACCTTGGCACTACGTGGATGTGAGTGGTCAGCTTCATGCACCAGCCACTTTACCCCCACCCCCACCTTCCCATGGAAAGAGCCCCCTGTACCCATCGGATAGGGGGCTGGGTGGGCCCCAGAGCCAGTCTGGATGACATGGAGAAGAGAAAATTCTTGCTCCTAGCAGAATGTGGAACGTACTAATGCCAGAACTCTTTACCACTACTGAAGCATCTCGATGGCAATTTGTGTCATTTTGTGCTAAGTATGACATGCAGCCTGCTTGGGTAGAAATTCATTTGTCAGTGTAGACTGTATGCATCTTCTGTTCTGCAGGCTTTACAGCGAAATGGAATCATTGTGGGAATGACAGGCGATGGTGTCAATGATGGTGTAGCTCTCAAGAAAGCCGATATTGGTATTGCTATGGGTAAGAATGGAACAGATGTATGCAAGGAAGCAGCGGATATGATCCTGGTGGATGACGATTTCCACACAATCATGTTAGTAAAATTTTTTTTTATTTGTAATGTATTTAATGATGCTGTCAAGAACTAAGACTACAGGGAAATTCCTATTTAATAAATCTCCAGGGGAATGGTTTTTCTTACACTAAAAAGGGGGTTCCACTAAATAGGATTTATGTAAAAATTATGTCTAGCGATTAATTCAGACTTTTTTGTTAATTGTTAATTACCAAAAAATTACAGACACATGCATAAACTTTTGGCTAGTAGATGCCGTGAGAAAAACTACTGCTGAACACCAAATTTTTATATTCTTGACTTTTGAAATAAACAGAAATATTTACATATTCGTGAAAAAGTGCCAGCTACATAAAGAATTGAAATTACAGGAAAACTTTAACTTTGTGGGTGCGAACTTTACTTTCATTTTACAGAACCTAACTTCCAGGTTACTTACTTAAGCTTTGTATTAATAATCCAGAGTTTCAGATTACAAGGGCAAATTCATTTTCCATCCACCCTGGGCAGTTGGGAGTCTGTGTATTGTTGTCTGTGTGAGGCACCGGTCCTTGTGACTGGTCTGCTATTGTTGACTTGATTCAGTCTTTGTCCAAAATAGTAAAAACATCCTGTTCCATTTTATTTTCAGTTCTGCAATTGAAGAAGGCAAAGGAATCTTCTATAACATTCGCAACTTTGTAAGATTCCAACTCAGCACTAGTATTGCAGCGCTGTCACTTATTGCCCTAGCGACACTTATGGGCATCCCAAACCCTCTGAATGCCATGCAAATTCTCTGGATCAACATCATCATGGATGGGCCTCCAGCTCAGAGGTGAGACGTCTGCCTTCAGCTGTGGTCATTTTGCTACATTAGGAGCATACTGTATTTGCCCACAGAACTCTGTGCTCTTAATCCTTTCCGGTCGGTTGTCCCGTTTGGAAAAATTTCTGCGACTGGGTCGTCAAGGGATCTTAAATCCCAGGAGAGGCACTAAGCAAACTGTTTTGTTCGAAAACTTGGTTCAGCAAGAGCATAAAGTGAAAACACAAAATGTGTGCTTACCAGCACAGTGCAAGAAGACAAATTCTCTGCTTTGCAGCGGTGTAAGACAAAAATGTGGAGAGAGGTAGTAGTGTTTCACTGGCTCAAATTGTCTGCTGTTCTCTAGTACAAAATATACACATATTTATATGTTGGGTAATAGCATTAGGTCCATTGTTATAATTAGACCTAAAAAGGCATTCATTTCAGGTACTGACACATCAGACCAGCTACTCCAAATGGACCTCAGGCTAAGCTGAGGTTCCAAAATTTTGTGTCTCGCATACCTGTTTGTCTTTATAACAGTGTTATTCAGAAGCTTGTCATTGAAAAATAGACTGAAATAATGCATGGGCTCTGCATCTGGTAGAAGGTTAAATCGTGGCCCTGCATTTTTAGTAATTAATTCGCTTATTGGGGGGTGCAGTCCAACTGGGTCCACTTGGCATGGCGGCCACTGATTGGCCTATTGTACCTGCCCCTGGTGATTATGATGATGGAGAATTTGGTGGAATGAAGATTGCTAGGGGAAACCGAAGCACTTGGAGAAAACCCTCCCCAGCACTACTTTGTCCACCAAAAATTCCACTTGACCAGACCCGGGATCGAACCCGGGCCTCTGTGGTGGGAAGCCAGCGACTAACTGCTTGAGCTATGGTGCGGCCTTGCATTTTTCATAAATGTGTATGTCTTGGGTTTCTTGTCATACATAATCACACCTCACCCATCAACACTCAGAACACTTGTTTAACTCTCACTCTCACTGTCCGACATTTCATTGCTCAATTCTTCACTCGGAGTTTTGCATTTTCCAAATCCATCTGATTATCAGAGTCTATATCGAGTTCTTCATTTAACAAAGCAATATTTGATTCTTCATTCTCAACACACATGGCATTATATTTTGGTTTTTCATGCCAGAAGGCACATGTGTACCTGAACGCAAAGCCATGTTGCTAACACTGATATGCAGTAATATATAAATGGCATTCTTTCCTAAAGAAGTTCAAATTATGACTTCCAGCTGGCAGAAGGAGGCAGACAAAACATTCATGAATTCATTTCATAAGTATGTCTGGCTGCAGTAGTTGTGTTTACATGTGTCTTGTCTACCAATGTATTTTTCTGTGTTCTTCCTGGTCTTGTATTAATGTAGTATGTGTTTTTTTTGGCTTGTAGGTATGTGATTGTGTTTTCTCCTTTTTTATATTGCTTGTATTTGTGAGAAATGTATCTTGTATGTGGGGATTGTGGTGCTTTGTTTCAACTCTTTCCAATCCTCCTACACTAGATGTGCCACTGTTCGATGCTGTATAGTCTGGCTGCTTACAGTATCGTAAAATAGCCCACTGAGAAGAAACTGCAACAACAGTTGTTGTCAACACAGCAGTATAAAATAAACCACTCTAATTGTTTACATTGGTTTTACTTAATAACTGCTGCATATTTCGGTTCATATTAGGACCATCTTGAGGCAGTTTCATTAAGTACAGCTCATGTTATTGAAATGTTCTAGTATGGATCCATATTAGTGTTAATCATTATAATCAAAATACATGTAATAAATACATAAATATTTAAAAATTGTCTCATCATTACAATGTAAAATTCTGTGTTATCTGCCACATATTGTAGGCGGTGTTTATCATACAGGGTTTGCTGATGTGTTTATATGTTTTGGTACTATTCACATGTAATGTTATGATTAGTTTCTTCTTCTTGAATATGACGTGATTGAGGTTTTTTCCCTTTAGAACATGTTGTGTACTTCTTGTTGTGTGGATGTTTGTTTGTGTGCTGTTCCTGTTCCTGATTTCAGTGTGGACACTCAGTCACAACATCATATTCAAGAAGATAAGAAGAAACATATAAAATTGAAAATTAATAATAATAATATTATGCGCAAATAGCAGTAAAACATTTGAACACAACAGCAAACCCCAGATGATAAACACCATACAGTACGTAACAGATAACAGAATTTTACATTGTAATGATGAGAAAATTTTTAAATTTTTAGAATATAAAAACTTTTATCATTTTAGTAATAGTGACATGTATTATGATTATAATGATTAACACTTATATGGAGCCATATGAGGATATTTCAATAATGTGAGATGTACTGAATGAACTTGCCTGAAGATGGTCTTAAGTATGGACCAAAACATGTAGCAGTTATTAAATAAAATCAGTGTAAACAATTAGATTGATTTATTTTCTATTGTTGTGTTGACAGCCAGAACACCACAAATCATTACACACAAGAGGATGCAAACACTAAAGACACATCCACTTCCTTGCAGATCCTTTGCAATTCATCATCTAATATACTACCATTCAGAATATATTGTGTAGCGTTGGACAGTGTTTCTAAATAACTCATGACAGAAATGCGTGGCATCGCATTCCAGAATGTAGTTCTCTTCATACCAAAGTGAATATTGCAGTTTTTAAGATTTATATTTTATTAAAAATTGATTGTGCATGAATGAAAGGTGCTCTTCTGACACAGTGTTCTTATATATAAGTTTTATTACTGTATTTCACTTCTATTTCATTTTGAATCCATTTGATGATGTTCTGGTCTTGAAGGTTCCTAAAGTAATATCAAAATGCAGATTAGAGTAAATTATTTCCTTGTTGCAGTCTTGGTGTTGAACCAGTGGACAAGGATGTTGTAAAACAGAAACCTAGGGATGTGAAGGAGCCAATGATCACTCGCTCACTTATTGTTAATGTCTTACTTTCTGCTTTTATCATCATTGCTGGAACCCTCTGGGTATTCAAGAAGGAGGTATGTATTTTTGGAGAAGTTAAGTGATATATATCTTTCATATGTATGTTTTTATGTGACCATTTATGTAGTTCATACAGCTTGATTTTAGGAAGTCTTAGAATGGTATGCATCAACTCAAGCATTCTTAAATGAGGTTTGAGGTTCTCTCTGCAGTGGCTATTAAATTATTGTCTTCTGGGATGTGAGGTTATGCTGACCGTTCTTCTGCTTGGTTTAATTCCTGATGCTTAAGATGAAGGCAGTATGTTCCTCCAAAACAATGGTAAACATCTGCCTGATGACATGATGTCACATCCAAGAAGGCAGTGTTGTTTATAGTCATTGCTATGAGAAATACAAGATCTCACATCTTTCTGAATAGGTAGCTCAGCAGTATAGCAGCTGCTCACATATATCACATATTTCAACTGCTTGGCTCTGTGTGTCTGAAGTTTTTAAACTGGTAGCCACCAACGGCCATACCATGTTGAAAACACTGGTTCTTGTCCAATCACCGAAGTTAAGCAACATTGGGCATGATTTGTACTTGGATGGTTAATCGCTTGGGAACACCACACGCCGTTTGAAAAAAAAAAAGATAGCATGGTTGGTGTAGCAACTGGCTGTGGGCTGGATGATGGAGGGTTTAGTTTGAGTCCCAGTAGGATCAAAAATTCTCTCTTCTCCATATTGTCGAGACCAGTTCTGGGGCCCATCCATACTATCCAATGGGTCCTGGGGACTCTTTCCCCTGGGGGGAGGGTAAAGTGGCTGGGGCGTGAAGCTTACAACTCACCTCCAACTAGTTTCAAGGTCAAGGATAAGTGGAACTTTATGGCATAATGCTTAATTAGTTAAGGAAATGGACAACTTTACCTTGCGTGATTACCCACAGCAGAGGTTGAGTGCATTGGAAGTGTTAAGCACAACCATTATCACTGTTGTCAGTGTTGTGACCATCACCATTCACTTAAACTCTTAGTAATCCAGTGTCTTAAAATGCCTAAGCACCACATCATGGAAGTGTGTGGGGAAGTGGAGGTCTAGCTCCGTATTTTAATAACTCTTACAGTAGATGGAGGTGAGTCATGTTTACACTCTGACTATTTTACCCCTGACACCCATTGGATAGTACACTGGGTGCACTAGGAAAAGGACATAAATCTCTTTCCCTGCTGACAATAAAATGGCAGTTCCTTTGTCATTAGCCCATAGCCTAACCGATGTTCTACCAGACAAGGGGAAATAAGAAAACTGATAATTCCATTGTTTTAATTAGTAACATTTTAACATTATTTTTAAACACACTACTGACTGTGTTTTGTGTTCAGTGATGGAATTGATGAAATATTTTCAGCCTATCAGCCATATCATTTGGTTAAAAGTGACCAGCGCTTCAGAGATCAACTGTCCCCATGATCAGGATCTGATATGGCATGGGATCCAAATCGGCCCATCCATGTACCACGGGCTGTGCATTGTTGTAAGGGTTGGTTTGGATCCAGAGTTGTGTCAAATTCTAATGGTGGGGACAGAGACGGTCCCAGAAATGTTGGTCATTTTAACCAACTAATGTGACCGATAGCCCAACAAGATTTCATGAACTTTAACCACTGTGAAAGTTTCAGAGGTTATGTGAAGGATGTAGTTGTTCTGTGATGAGTGGCAGTAGTTCCTACACTTCCTCTAACTGCCAGTGTCTCACATTGCAGACTGCAGTGTAATCGCAGGAAACAGCAAGATTTGCTGTGTTATCATTTGTTCATGTCAAGAAAAATATTCTTTGTTTCACATTTTTAGTAATTTGTTGTCTTGTTTCAGATGAGTGACAATATAATAACTCCCAGGGATACCACTATGACATTTACTTGCTTTGTGTTTTTCGACATGTTCAATGCTCTCAGTTGCCGATCACAGGTATATCACATTTTTTTTTTCTTTAATGTGACCTTAATGTAAAATCCTTATGTTTGCCTGGTGGTTGCTAAGGATCCATTTGTGGTTCAGTGCATGAGATATATATCCAGTGCTTTTTTGTGATTTGGCAATCATATGAGCCTCCTGGATTCGAGGTTCTCACAGTGGTGGCTGTGAAGAGTATGTTCTGGGTTGTATTGCTGTATATTATGGAGAGAACATGACATTTCAGAGAACCATATCACTGAGCTTAGCTTGCAGCCTGCTTCTGCTTTTTCTTGTTTTACTTACTCTTTGATTTTGAAGAGGGAAGCAGTATGTTATCCACAATATTGGGCTCTCTCTGAATTGCATGGCATTACAGCCCAGAGGACTGTTCTGTTCATATATCATTCTGTATATAAAATGATGTACTTCATATTCACAAGGTTTATCACAGTGCAGTGCCATGGCAGTTAATGATTTTTCAAAAGAGGTATGATGTCATATTTTAATTTAAGATCCTAATTTTAATAATCAATGAGAACAATTCACTGCCTGTCCCTTACAGTACACTGGTTCTCACATGTCACTTAAAAGGTTGAAGTGTCTTGTAGTTGAAGAGCACTGTGCTCTGATATGTAACAACACATAATCCAGTGGAAATTTTCCTTTGTTTCGTAGGAACATACTGCTTCCACCTTCAGGGTCCAGGAGGAAGCAAAGTAAGTAACCAACAGAATCTCTCTACTTGCTTCCTGCTTCTTGCTGGTTACTTGCCTGGCTTACTCTTCTACCCTGAAGATGGAGGCAGTACATTGCTCCAAAACATACGCAGATTTCTACCAGACTACGTGGCAGTTAACGCTGTCAGAGCCTCAAATTAGCTGAACCATGCTGCTTCTGGTGCAGTCTGTGCCCCATGTGTTCCTACATATATGTGCATGATCATATGAGTACCACACAATTGCTGCTGATGAAGTTCACAGGTTTTATGCATCTGCCATATAGATTACAAGGCAGAAAATAAGTGAACAATGTACTTTTAGTATTACTGGATTTCTGGAAAGGATACTCGGTAGCACAGTTGGTTGAGGCACTATGCTACAAGCTGGAAAGATCATGGACTTGATTCCTGATGAGGTCATTGGATTTTTCAATTGACCTAATCCTTCCATCTGCACTATGGCCCTGGGGTCAACTTAGCCTCTAATAGAAATGAGTACCAGGAATCTTCCTGGGGGATAAAGGGTGGCCTGCATGTAAGCCTGACAACCTCACTGCCATCTATGCGCCGATTGTCTAGAAAAAGTGGTTGGGTTGATCTCTCACAACCATATGGGCCTCCGTGGCCTGTTACATGGTTAGCTTTTACTTTTATGTGGATTTCTGGGTTTGTCCATATTCTAAAATAGAACACAGAATTTCAGGTGCTGGATCTGCTCATGTGAGGAACACCTGCTCAGATGAATCCATTTGAAACAGCTAATCCTGGTCTTTGGACCTAGCTGTGGATTAACTTTTTCTAACAGACTGGACTGAGTACATACCCTTCAACTGCTGATGGTGTCATATCCAACTCTGAGATGTTGTGTTCTGTTTTAGAATATCGGATGATGGGTGAAGTCCATAATACTAGTGAACTAGTATTACTGATAATATAATATTTGATCATCCTGTTACATTGAAGTGTCACTTGCAGTTTCTCTTCCATCTGTAATGCAACACACGTTTTATTTTAAATGACACCACACTTACATTCAGCTCGCTAAAATGTCAGTTAAAATGTTCTTGAAATATCACTAAAATATATATTCTATGTCTGGCTACATGTTTAAGCCTCACATGGCCATCTTCAAGCAACACATTTTGATGGAAGATGGCCGTGTAAGGCCGAAACATGTAGCCAGATGTAGAATATATATTTATATGACATTTTAGTGAGTTGAATCTAAGTTTGATGTTATCTAAAGTAAAAAGTGTGTTGCATTATAGAAGAGAATTATTTTAATTTTTAATTCGCTTAGTGGGGGGTGGAGTCCAGCTGGGTCCACTCAGCATGGCTGCCACTGATTGGCCAATTGTACGTGACCCGAGTGATTATGATGATGGAGTATTTTGGTGGAATGAAGATTGGCAGGGGAAACCAAAGTACTTGGATAAAGACCGCCCCAGTGCCACTTTGTCCACCACAAATCCCACTTGACCAGACCCGGGATCAAACCTGGGCCGCTGCAGTGGGAAGCCAGTGACTAACCGCTTGAGCTATGGCGCGGCTGATGGAAGATAAACTGCATGAGTAGTACTATTGGTTGTGTTACACCATTGCCAGAACCCTAAGGAATTTTAATAACACACTGCTAATGCAATTTGCAGACCAAATCCATCTTCACGATTGGCTTGTGCAGTAACCGCATGTTCCTGCTGGCGGTCACTCTGTCTGTGGTTGGTCAGCTGCTGGTCATCTACTTCCCTCCACTGCAGATGGTGTTCCAGACAGAAGCTCTCATGCTTACAGGTATGTAGGTTTCAAGGCAATGGGTTTCTGAAGTCCCTTTTTCAGGGTGGTTACACTTGCCCAGGATACCATGAAGCTCTCTCTAGGAGTTTGTTGGGCAGCGACAAAGATGCTGAATCAGTTTGAATCCTAAAGAAGCACTTTAATATACAAACATGCAGTTTAATAGAAAAAGTACAGTTAATTACTGATTATTTTTTTTAAATTAACTAAATGACATTTCAAGTAATCCATATGCGTTGGTGGCTTCAGACTTTTTTATTCACATCAAGATAGTCTCGGAACCAAAGAGCTGATGTTGTCTTTTATGACACCAAATAGTCCATATGTGCATACCAACATTTTGGACCAAACAAAGTGGTGTGCCGATAATGCTTTCGATTTGTGTTTGGGAGGTGTTCAATTTGAATATCAGCTGGACACCAGCTATCCTTACAGAAGTGGGTTTTTTGGATTCCTTCAATTGCTGCAGGCAGATTCTGGGATAGTACCTTGATTAGGCCACTACTGTGTCCTTCCAAAGTTTTTTCAAGTCAGCATTCATATATCATCTTATTGTCTGACACAGTATAGTCTGGTTATTGTCTTTCATAGTACCCATCCTGTTGTGTGTCATTCAAGAAAAATATAATATGGGCCAGTCAACACAAGTATTGAAACTGAAATATGTAAACACATTACTATGGATCCATATTTACATTGAGAGGTTTTATAATTCACAATCATAAATTAATTTTTTTTATCAGGTAATATATGCACCTATATTATTAATATTTATGTTATTATCTATGTTAATTTGAATAGTTAAGAATAAAATGAATATTACATATGTGTTTCCATGGTCTGCCACTAGCGTATAGATTTGGGAGTCTAATTATACACTTATTAGCATTAAAATACTCTTTGTTATTAACAGTTGACATATGATGTCTTTTGGGTGAATGATTGCTGCTTAAAATTAGATAAAACTTCAATTGAAATTATAAGTGTTCATATATATTAAATTATAATAATGGGGCTTGTTTAGACTTCATGTGACTGCTATTTAATTGAAGTTGTAGTAAATGTAATTGGTGTAGCCTGCTGTGCTAGGATACTTCTTGAAGGTATGACATGCTGCATTTATAGCATTCCTGTTGTGTAGTGTCTACGCTCAATTTTGAGCTTGGTATCCTCCTCCGGTAGATTTTTTCTGTCGTAGGGTTATTTGGAGTTCAATGTTGTGTAATATGTATGGGTCTCCCATGGTGGCGGTGATGTTAATGTTGTAGCGGTCTTGTCAGAACTCTATTTTTTCTAGTCTGGTCATTGACTGTGTTAAAGAATAACCCACAAAATAAACACTATGAAGGAACCTGCTACCTTACCTCCATTTTCTACCATGAAGATGGAGACAGTATATTCATCTGAAACGTTGGTTACTACCTACCTGTGGCACTACATGGTATCACAGCCCAGAAAACCAGAATTTAAATTATGGGTACAGGGTGTTTTCTGTCATTTGAGACTTAAAAATTTTTGTGACTTCTCTGCTATATAACACAGTTGTATGAAACTTTCACTGATCATTCTGCACGTTTGAAAAATTTGTTTCTTGAACTAAAACATGTTCCATATAACTTTCTCTTGATGTGGTGGGTTGGCAATAGTGAGCTTTGAATTCTCAGAGACCCAAAATCAGCCATTTTACTTGTTAATGAAAGCATCCAGGTAAAAGTATGCTTCGTCAGAGAACCATGTTACATTCCAGACAACCGGACTGTCCACCAGGAGTGCTCCATACTCCCTTGCAAAAGGATAATGTCTAGTTCCATCTTCTGACAGTGGCTGACTCGGTCATATTTTGTACAAAAACAATGACAAGACATTACTGCAGATTATCTAAGCAGTGCTGGTTAAAATTCCTATATGTTATGTTAAACACTGCATGCTTTGTTACATTTACACAACTTCATGTTCCTTTAAACTGTTTAATAATCCAGCAGATAGTGTTCCTGGATGGTGCAACATGAACAGAAAACTCTCAATGATAATTCCTGTCCACAGAACACAAATTTCAATAATGCAGGCATTTATTAATCTCCCTTGTAGATTTATGAAGCATACTGTAAGACTGGGAAAGTGAATTCATGTGTGGTATATAGTAGATATGAGCCGGTCACGGTAGCCGAGCCGTCTAAGGCATGCACTGTCTTCGCTCGCTCGGAAGCCGGGATCGTGGGTTCGAATCCCACTCAGGGCATGGATGTTTGTGTGCGTTTTTCTGTGTTTGTCTACAGGTAGAGGCCTTGCGATGAGCTGATCACTTGCCCAAGGAGTCCTACTGTATGTGTAAGATCTAGTAAACTGAAGTGAAATGGAGAGTTTCATGGAGGTATGCCTAGGCCCAAATTGGGGCCGTAGCGCCACAGGAAAAATATAGTAGATATGAATTGTATTTCTGGTTGAGCCTCTGCTGGTGTTATTAACAAAGCAAAATCTACGAGGCTGCAGTGAGATAAATGTGTAACTGTAGTGTATACAGAGTTCTGATAAGGAGATGCCATTGAAATAACTTCTTTGAATAGTAAGAAAGAGGTGAAACCATATTTATAACTATGGACTTCTGTGTTTATGGACCTTGCCTGTTCAGCTAATGTTCTGAAAGAACACAACATTTTGGAAAAATGGATCTGTTTCCATCAGATAAAAGAGCAGATTGGTCTGTTAGAAATAGCTGCTCTCCATCAGTGGAACCCTCCCTCTCTTTCAGCTGAGGGTGGAAACATATCCATGTTTTGAAATGTGTTCTTTCAGAGTACTGGATGATGGATAAAGTCCAGAGACTCCATAATCCTGAGTGTAGGCACTGCCATCAGAACCCTTTAGAACTGATTTAGAGCAGTAGTGTGTGAGGACAGGAGGTAAGTGTAACTTATGTGGAAGGGTTTATGTTGAACCTGCAGGTTCTGCTACTGGAATCTTACATGGCAGTTGGAGCCCAGTGCAGGCTAGTAGGAGCGGAGAATAGGAAATGTGAGAAAATGGCCATTTGATTTCAGATATCTTGTTCCTGGTGAGCCTGACATCTACTGTGTTCATCATCTCAGAAGTGAAGAAGCTGCTCGAGAGACATCTTGAGAAGCGCCACAAATCCATAAAGTCAGATCTTGACTTCGTATGACAGTTAAGAAAAACCAGGAGTAAGGCCTGTGTTGACTAAGATTTATCTGTTAACAATAGAGATTATTTCTTAATGAAAAAGTCTATCCTGAATATGGGGAAAGGTCTCTTCTGGTACAATAAATAACTATACCAAACTTGGCAGCATTTCTTAATGAAAAACAAGGTACTTTCTAGTGAAACATTTATTTCTGCATTGTGTGCAAAGCCTTGCATCATAATTATGATGTCTTACAAACCGTGTCCAAATAGACTGAAATTATTTAATTATTGACTACACTAACTGATAGCAGAGGCTTATGTTAGACTCTCATAGGCCTAATCACATTGTTTGTAATGTAATGTTGTTCACTTCCTTCTCCAGTCTCTTAGTAGATGATCATGACAAGGAAAAAACTCTCAACAGGCTTACACAAATGCATTGATATCTGTTTTACTGACATACTGTCTGTATTCAATATAAGGTGTAACATGTCTTAAATATTACTGAAGGAAAATGCAATGGAGGATCTGTGATATAAGTATTGCAAGCAACGTGTTGATAATTCTCAAGTACAGTAGTAAATGTGCATACTACTCGTAGAAATTTATGTGGTGAAGCTGACTGTAAATGTCAGCATTCATACTAATGTGATGCTGTGAATTATGGGTTTATACAAGTGTGAATTGTTTCCGGACCGTATGGAAATAGGCTATATAGCCATGTGGGCGTTAAAGTGGAAATTACAGAATAGTATAACAGAATGAATATAGTTAGATACTGGAATTTTAATTGACAAATACAACAAGAAAAATTGAAAAGGACAAATGTAAATAGGTTTAGTTACTGTGTGTATTGCTTAACTCTTAAAATATCATATTTGTAGATTCTTTCAAGGATGATAAAATGTTTCATGTTGTTGACAGATAGTTAACTGAAACAAAGATAATTCATAGGTAGCATTTTTCTGAACTGACTATAGATTTTTTGTTGTTGTTTATGTTGGTTTAGGTACGTAGATGCAACCAGACAGGAAATTTTTACCACCAAACAGTTCTGATGTAGATCTCAGAATCCTTTTCTCTTGGTACATGATGCAATTCTCATTATACATAAGGTACAGTTTCAAGTTGGTTATGTTTCATGTGCACTCTGATGATATTAGAGCCGTTAGTGAACACTCTAGTGCCACTTTGGATGTTCATAGAAATTCTTAGTACTGTTTGAATATTGTTAACTGTTACAGTCTTTTGAGTTTAAAGAGGTGTATTAGACGTGTTTGAACATGGAGCTTCTGGCCTCATCAGTCAATATTTTGAAGTAGTTTGTTCACAGAGAACATCTGCTTTTTCAGTGGGTATTATCTGTTGTGGATAGATAAAATATATTATAGTAATTTTTAACTGTTAATGCAATTATTGATGTTAATCAGATATAAGAGGGTTGTACTTATGTGATCTGGATGTTTAAAAATTTGCTTAGATACTCTTCCCATAACTAAACTTGCACAGTTGGTGTAGAATTATTGAATTACAAGAATTTTTAGAAATGAGCTTTAAAGGACCAAGTTTGATGTCAGAAATTTGAAGAACAAAACTTTCAGACCATGTTGTCGAGGCATTCTTGAGCCATGTTACAGTAGTTTCCTATATATAAAATTAATACATTCACACAGTTTCATTGTTTTCTCTTGTGACACAATTGCTATTATTGTGATAGCATTGTATTTCTTACCATAATGCACCAATGTTTGTTAACTTCATGATAAAATGTAGTTACAGTGATGATTTCAAAGTAATGTTAAGCTAATGCCTTATGAAGTGGAGGTTACTTCTTGTCACACCAGCATTTGTATCACTTAGCATATTGAAGGATTCTTTGAAACGTGGGTAAAGTATGTGTAATAATTTTTAATTTTTCCGTGAACTCATTCATGTGTTCTGATCAGAATTCTAAGTACATTGTATCACATAGTTGTGTAATATTATAAACTCATATCTGCTTGTTTCATATACACAATTTTAAGATTTATTTCTGTGCATCTAAAATTAGAGGTAAAGGACCATACAGCCATGCTCAGATACGTAGTTGTCATACAGCACTTTGTGAGTACACATAGCAGTTCCATGATGAGCACAGTACAGAATGGGATGGAGCTGCTGTACTGAAGTAACAGTTTGATTTAGAATATTGTGCTGTGAATTTTATTATGTTAGAGTTATGTAAGGTGATGATAATCGTATTATCAACATAAGGTTATGTGTATTGGATTTGAGGTTCCACATCAGTAACTATGAAGATTATGGTCTTCTAGGTTGTAACATCACATAGTTCAGATAGGAAAGCACAACATTTTGAAGGAACATATTGCCTCCTTCTTCAGGGTTGAAGAGTAATCCACGACAAGCTTGCCGTCTGCTTCTGCTGGTTTGTTGCTGTCTTACTGTTCGACCCTAAGAGAGAGGAAATATATTCCTCTGAAACATTGAACTGTCACCGAATTACACAGGATTACAACCCAGAAGTTGAACTATTCATAATTTTGCAAACTTTTATAAGTGTTCGTATAACAGTCAAGCTACACACTTGAAAAAAGTGCAGTATGTCAGAAGTATTCAAGGAGGATGAGATGGGCAGGGCATGAAGCATGAATGTAGGAGAAAAGGCATGCATATAGGATATTGGGAAAGCCAGAAAGGAAGAGACCACTAGGAAGACCAAGATGTAGGTGTGTAGGCAATATTAAAATGGATCAAAGAGATATATGATATTTACAGTACAATATGAGAATATGTTTTGTGTTCAGAGGCATAACTTTTTGCCTTGGCATGGTTTCTTCCTTTTGGAATATGGTTTGCGTTTTATTTAGTGTGTATAGACATAAGCTTCAGGGAGACTGTAAACAAATGAAACCACATTTTTATGAAGGGCTAAACATTAGACAAGCTCTTGAAGTTAACTGCAAAGTGTGAACTTCTTATCTCTCTGCCTCTAATTGCTTGAAGACTTCTTCAGATGGCACTCAGTTTGCCCTTGCAGCTACATTTAAATGGTAGCAAGACCCTGCTGTTGCAGGGTTATCTTAGTTTTAGAATTTCTTCTTTATATGAATAAATAAAATGCAGGGAAAGACCACAGCGGAGTCTAAGGCTGCCAAGACAACATATTAGCACAGCATCTCAGATATTTCCAGTTGAACAGGGTGACCAGCCATGTCTCAGTGTTAGTCACTAGTGGCTTATTGAGTGGGCTTGTCATTTTTAATTGCCTAATGTGAATGCTGTACAAAGTTCCATATATGTTATGATAACATATCGCGTGTTTTTCTGTATTCATTTATTTTAATTCTGGTAATGTGTGTTGTTTGCAGTAAACGTTGCAAGCAGTTTCCTTAAAGTTGGAGACTTGGATCATTATATATTGTTTTCTTCACTGAAACAATTTTTTTGGATTACATGGATGATGTGTGCATGATGAGAGTCAAGGATAAAGTGGGAATTTTGTGAGATAAGAGATTCTCACAGCTGTCATTACTATGAAGATGCAATGCCATGTAACCTGTTACACTGTTATCATTCTTTCAGAGGAATGTGCTGCCACCATCTTCAGGGTGGACGATAGTTGCAGTATGTTCTTCTGAAATGCCATTAAGTTACATACCCCCAGCAGAGGGTGAGGTTCATAGTGGGGATTTTGTTTATTTATAGACCTGTTAATGCTCTTCTTAGAAAATGAAGTGAAATTGAGGAAACTAATCTTTCACCAAGTGCTTTGCAAAACAGATCCACAGAAAAGTGTGCACTAGCACCATCTGGTGGGAAGTTTCATCCTGATTCAGTTATGCAATGTGGGAATAAAGAGTGAGATTTCTGAATTGTTTGGTATTGATCATATTTCCAAAACAATGTTGCTCATGCACACATCTTTGTTGATGTTGATGGCCTTCCAGATATTGGCTTGTCCTCAACTGTTCTATCTTCAGGCAACTTACCGATCAACCATCAGACATTGTTATGATGTAGCGTCTTAATGGCAAGAATCATTTTCCTCCAAATATTTGCTGCATATCCACCGTGTAATTGGCTTCACATGTAAACTCAAAAATGCCCAAACTTTTAGGTGCAGAACCTTTTTCACCTATGAATTGTCAGCAAATGGGAACAGAACTAATTTCTCAAGCATGACACAGTGTAATAAGGATTTACTTATTGCAACACATACTGCAAACATAATAATGTTATCAAACTGTACTGCAAAGTAAAGTAATTATATTTGCATTACTGAGTTTAGGCTTCATGGTGGTTGATGTTAATTCAGTTCTTGGGTGGCTATACTGAATGTGAGCAGTATTGCCAACATTTGGAGGTTCATTTTGTCTCCATCTGTAGGGTCAAAATGTGTAGGTTGGGTGGGCCTCTGTGAATATATAGGTTTATAGACATAAGCACACACACACACACACACACACCATACACACTTTGATCCTGAAGATGGAGGGTGTACATGTATATATATGTATGAATTTTGTATCACCCATTTCCATTAGCCTTCAACTTATGTGAGATCTTGTACTTCACTAAGAATGAGAACTCTGAAGAAGGCACCAACTTCATTAGCTGTATAAGTCTGGTCCTTTACCGGAAAGAAACTTCACTTCAGCAGCCTTCATCTCTATGTAGTGTGCTGGGAATGCTGTGTTTTAATGTTCAGAAAAGAAAAAAGAAACATATGTACAGGTACTGGTTTTGCAGATTGTGTAGTTTCATCAGAATAAGCAGAATCCTCTCTCATTCAGGGTGGCGGGAGAATAAATCTGTGAAGACCGTTTTTTGGAGATTGTCCATCATCACAGGTTTTTAAGAACCTATCCATTTCAGAAGTTTCTTTTACTTCCATGTCAAGTAAGAGCATGATTTTAGAGTAGCTCCTTTTGTGACTCCATAGAATAGGTTTCTGTTTACATGGCAATTTAAGTGTGAGCCAATTTCCAAAATGTGGTTAAAAAATATGACGGAGAAAGTAAAAAAAAAAAAAGAAGTCCAAATTGGGAGTTATTTTTGATCCATGTTTCAGATGTCAGGATTTTGCTTTATTGTGTAATTCTGTATGAGTGATTATTAGTCACATAAATGATTATTTCATATTTACGTAAGTTTAACGCCAGTCATGTTTTATTGGGATCATCTGTGATGGTTTGGTTTAGTGCCCATAATGTAGCATCAGTTTCACCTGAATTTTGACATGTCGCTTGTTACTTGTTTTATCTTTACATGCAACGTGAATGCTTGTAGACTGAATGAATGTAAGGTGAAGTAAATATTTTATAAATTTATTGATGGATGGATGGATATAATAAGAACTGATAATGCCAAGGAATATTAGGTTGAGTGAAAGAATGAATGAGTTCACATTTTAATACTTTTACACTCTGAATAGGTTCCGAAGTTGCTTGTTTATGTTTATTCTTGTGATATGTTTACAATTGTCTTTGATACTTCTTGCAGCAGACACTGAGAATGCTAATGAAAGCGCTTTTTTTTTTTTCCACTTGTCTGAATGAGTTATAGGACTATTGTTTTTATTTATTTATTGATATTAATTATTATGGATCATCAGCATTCGTTATCTATATTTTTATGGAGGTTACTTACTATTTGTATATCACAGTGCTCCAATGTGTTATTTTCCATTTTTGTATTTATCATTTCCATTGTGTTGTGGTTACACCAGTTAGCATTCCTGTATGCTTCTCATTTGAAATGTTGGTAAATGTATTTTGAAACATTGTACTAGAAAGAATACACAGCTTCCTCAGTTAATATGGTTCTTTATAAAAGTCAGTGCTTTATTGACCTCATGACCATATTGTGAAAATTACATCCTTTTGCCTCTCTATATTGATCTGCATATTACGCAATCATAACTTTATTTTCAGTACAAGTATTTAATGTATAAAATGGTCACTGTGCAGCGCCATGGTGGTAAGTAATGGACATATGAATACAGCTTATAAGGGACATGTCATTATAATGAGAGAAATTATTGTCACTGTCGATTTCTTAATGAGACGTAATGCATGCAAAAGTTTGCTTAAAACTAAGGCTTGGAAGTGGGAACTTTTGTCATAGCAAGCAAACCCTAACCAGCCATTATTATTTTTCTGAAACTGCACTGGTTGCACTTGCAGTTTTACTTTCCAAGCTGTTTTTAGTTGGCGATCCATGAAGGTACTGCCCGTGCTGTTCTCATATCTAGGAGGAAAGAAAGTCTGAATTAGCAGATTCTGCAAGTACACTCTCGGAATGAAGAGTTTACTGAACTTTGAGATAGAGATGTTTAATGTGTATGTGCAGCCATTATATGATCAGAAGACATCAGCCAACTCCTCATTTGTAGGTTATTTATCTGTGTTATGACTATATATTGTCAGGTGGTAAGATGACCAGTAAAGTGGAAAAGATATGAAAAGAAGTGAGCATAGCTCAGTCAGAATGTTTTCCAGTATGTGTCCTATGGGCTTCTCTTATGGCTGTTATTAAAAAAAAATTAATAACGTCAGTTTCTTCTGAATTGTTTCTGTTATAAAATTATATTGTTTGTGAAATTCATGGTTCTGTCATAATTTCTTAATTTATTTTACAGTCTGAAAGGGCGTATCCTGTTGCCCTCATCAAATGCATTTGTACTAACATATATATTCTCTCGTCAGATCTTATTGTTCATGATTCACTACCAGAAGATATCCACTGTTTAAGGAGTGTCTTATGCTTGCATTCAGGGTGTGCAGAAACTGTAATGGTTTCAAGTTGTTTCATAATTCCTAACACCTTCAGAGCATTTACAGTTTTTACATTCAATTCCTTCTCCGTCTCCTTCCCATACAAAATAATTAAAAGCATTAATTGGTTCCAGTATCCTATGATTAATGCATATCTTCCATGGAATTTGCTTGAGTTATCTTATCTAAGTTATCTAAGCCATATTTTAGGTTTTTTCTCCCCCATATTTGCATCTGGAAAATTTGTATCTATATTATTCAAAATGCATATTGCGTAAATCATCTTAGATTTGGCTAGAAGGACCTGATGATTCATAAACAGCGAAGTTCCTGCTGATCAGTCTCTATTTGTGTAAATGTATGAAACCAGGACAGAACTCACTGGTTCTGTTTGGCTCAGCTCTGTACTGATTCAGGCTCATTTACGTTGTCAATGAAGAGGGTGTTGTAATCCCTTTTCCATGCTGTGAATTGGAGAAGGTATGGTACAATTTTGGGTGCACAAAATTTATGCCTAGTGGAGCAAGTATGGAGGATTTCACACATGTTTTTAAAACCTCAAAACATGTGACTTAAATGTGAAATGGTGAAAATGTTTTCAGGTCCTTTGGATGTTAAACAGCAAGTTTTAAATTTTTAGATACAGACTGTTACGAGGCGCGCGGGAGCATAGTTGCTTGAGGCACTATGCTACAAGCTGGAAGGTTGCAGGTTCAAGTCCCGATGAGGTCATTTGATTTTTTTTAATTGACCTAATCCTTCCAGCTGCACTATGGCCCTGGGGTCGACTCAGCCTCTAACAGAAATGAGTACCAGGAATATTCTTGGGGGTAAAGGGCGGCCAGCGTGTAGGGCTGACAACCTTGCCACTATCTATGAGCCGATTGTCTAAAAATGTGGGAACCTCAACATCTAAGATGGTCTTGGATCAATCTGGCTGAGGATATGGACCAGTGGAGGGCTCTTGTGAACACAGTAATGAACCTTCAGGTTCCATAAAATGTTGGGAAGTTCTTGAGTAGCTACACAATTGGTAACTTCTCAAGAAGGCTACTTTATTAGCTGATCTTCACGCACTGTTGGTCAATAATATTTCAGAAGAATATAATGACGCCATCAAATGGATTGAAGTTGGTATCAGTCTGCAATATTGCATTGTGTCATAACCCAGAAGACCACAGTCTAAATACATTTCATCAACAGAGAATAGACTGACTTAATTACATAAAGTTTTATCTTGAGATAAGACAATTTTGAAGTTTTCAGTGATCAACCTTACAATTTATAATAATATTTTGTGAGTTTCTGTTACAATATTCACTGGCCATGTCGTTTATCCATTGTTTAGCAATTAATTTTTGTTCCAAAACTCCCTTCTTGTCAATTAAAACAAATATTTTTAAATGTGCTGCACAGATAGTTTTGTCTCTCTGACTTAAGTATCACCCTGAACAATAATACTGGGTGACTGTAACATACACACAAGGTTTCTCCATCATATAACAGATCTGTTGTTTTTTAATCCCTGTTTTCTGCTATAAACGGTTTAGTATTAGACCAGTCCGTGATTGGGTGTTGGAATAGAGTAGTCGGTATAGTGACTGGCTACCAGCTGGATGACCGAGGGTTCAGATTTTGAGTCTCATTAGGGTCAAGAATTTTCTATGTTGTCCAGACCAGTTCTGGCGTCCATCCAGCCTCCTATCCAATGGGTACAGGTAAAGTGGCCAGGGCATGAAGCTGACCACTCAACTCCAGCTAGTGTCGAGGTCAAGCAAAGTGTGGATCTATACAGCTACTTCCACATACCCCTTCATGGAGTAGTGCTTAATCAGTTACGCACAGGGCCAACTTTGCCTTACCTTTTCCTTTCTACAATATGCGATCACTTTAATATTTGAAAAGTAATCAAGTTTTATGAATAACTGAGATGAAAACGATGATGATGATACAAATGTTATGTTTCTGTACATTATCCGCCTTCTGGTAAAAGCTACTCAGTTGGGCCCACTCGATAGAGCTAGTCCCTCTCTCCAAGGAGACCGAATCCAGTTTCCAAAAAGTTATTTTGAAATATAAACAGGACTGTGTTTTTAGATAAATCCAGGACGATGAATAATGTGCAGACACATAACATTTGTAACAGAAATGAGTACCAGGAATCTTCCTGAGGGGGTAAAGCCCGACTAGAGCGCAAGTCTGACAACCTTATTACCATCTGTGCACCGATTTTCTAGAACGGTCTAGAAAATGTGTTTTACAGGTTTAGCGTTCCCCCTTTTTTTTCACTAATGTACCATCGTCACAAACTTTTAGATTACAATGATGTTGATATAATGTCAAAATAATACTAACAATAATACAATTCAATTTAATTCTTGTTTATTTGAGTGCTAACTCAACAGCCAAAGGGCCAATTAGTGAGCACCAGTACAGGAAAGAAAAAATAACACACAAAGTACAAAACGAGGCACTTTGTAACTTAAAGGCATTGTCATTTTCTGACACTATAAAACGCAATCAAACAGTATGCATGTCAAATTCTGAGAATTGCTTCATTTGCCATCTTTGTAGAAGGGGAAGTGGGCACTGCGCAGTTGAGCAACACCGCGTTCTATGCGCAGCTCCCGCTCTTTCCATTCCAGAACATTCCGGAATGTTCCGGAACTTCCGGAATCGAGATTGCACGCGGTGAAATCGCCGTTGGTTTGACTAGTTAGTGAAGTTGTACCCTAGAAGAGCAGTGTGCGGAGCAGAAACATTTTGTGATGAGTATGAAGACGAAGCTGGAGTTACTTACGAAATTTGAGAAAGGTGTTTACTTCAAAAGATAACATGAAGAGTTTGGGGCAAGTATATTCGCCATACAAGTTACTAGGAATAACTGCGCATGTTCTGTGACTAACGCAATGGGGTAGAGACCTTTTTGAAAATCCACCAGTTTCCTAATTACTCTAGAGTCTATCAACATTTTACCGAACCCGAAGGTTCATTATCGTGCCCGCCACTGGTCCCTATCCTGATCCAGATTAATCCATCCCATACCACTGCATCCAATTTTTCGAAGATACGTCTCAGTATTATAATCTCACCAACATCCAGGTCGTCTCAGTTGTCTCTTATTCTGGGTTTCCACCGAAACCCCGTGTGCTTTCCTGTACGACGCCGTGTTTGCTGCATGCTCCGCCTGTCTCATTCTTTACTTGAGCATTTCAGTTATATATGGCAAAGAGTGCTAGTTACGAAGCCACGTGTTATGCAGTTTTCTCTAACCTGTCAGTTCTTTCATGTTCGAACTAAATATTCGTCTCAGCAGCCAGTACGCAAAACACCCCCAATCTTTTAAGCTCCTTCAATGTTAGAGATCAAGTTTGACACCCAAACAGAATAACTGGCGAAATTATGGTTTTCTGTTTTATGCTGTTGGGCAACACTAGAATCTGAGCTCAGTGATAGCAAGCAATTAGTGGGTTTCATCCGCTCTTAATTTACTCATGAATACGATTATGATTTATAATGTTATTGCCCAATATCCAAACTTGGCCCCATTTTGAAAGGATCCTTTAGCTATCTTCGTGTTATGATTTTGTCCCGCATTCTGGTGATGAGAAAGCAACAGATATATAAGTTTTCTCTGTTTTTTCTAAGGTCTTGTTTAGTATTATCCTCTCATTTATGTCTAGGTCTTCTAAGTGGGGGTTTCCTTTTGGCTTTCCCACCATGATCTATAGGCATTCCAACAACCCAATGCATGCTGTATGCCCTATCCATCTCATCCTCCTTGGCTTGATTATGTTTGGCAAAGAGTACAAGCTGTGAAGCTCCTCATTATACAGTTTTCTCCAAGCTGCTAGCATTTCATTCTTCAGTTTAAATATTCTGTGCCAACCACGAGAGACAGTAAAGGAGTAATTTTTTTTAATTCACTTTGTGGGAGGTGGAGTCCAGCTGGGTCCACTTGGCGCGGTAGCCACTGATTGGCCTATTCATTCATTCATTCATTCATTCATTTATTTCGTGTCCATGGATCATTATACATGATATAAGACATGTCGGTCTTGTGTAGTTATAGTATAAAGTTTCATGATGTTACTATTGGGGGGGGGCTGCATGTGAAGCATGCAGTGCAACGTGGAATTTGGGTACCAACTCAGCATTTGCTCTGGGACCAAGGAAAACCACGGAAAACCTTGATCGAATTGGCCGGTCACAAGACCTCCCAGATACACTGGTTTCTAGCAGCACCACTCCCACCGCCTCGGCTCCATATCCCATAGTCCCTGCTGTGTTTTCTCCAGCACATGGCGTCTTGTTTCCTGCAAGAAGAGAGTAACGCAGTATACACTCCTAGTGTGTGTTAAGCTAAGCTCAATTGTTCTTACTTTTAAATTATTATATGATCCTAATGTGAACTAAGTCTTGTGCACATAGGAGAGGAACTCATCTATGCTATAAAAGCAATGTTTTAATAGAAATGTTTTCAAAGTAATTTTAAATTTACATAATGCTGGTATCTCTTTAATGTATTGCGGTAGGTGGTTTAGAAGACGAAGACCAAGATTATTGAAATTGTTTTTACACAAGCTTGTATTGCATGGAACAATGTATAAGTCCTCTTTCCTTCTTGTATTATATGAGTGTACATTTGCATTGGTTATGAAGGTATTCGAGTTGGATTTCATGTAAACTAGTGTTTCATATATATAGAGGCATGGTAGAGGTAATACGTGTAGTGATTTGAAATACTGTTTGCAGCTAGTAGTTTTGGTTACCTGCATTATGGCTCTCTTTTGTAACTTAAAAATCGACTCTGCGTTTGATGAATGACCCCAAAATATCCATATGATAACAAGGATTGAAAGTATGCATGGTATAGAGTGCGAACAGTCTCAATCCCTAGCACTCTGCTGACTATTCATAGGGCAAAACATATTTTACATAACTTGTTTGCTAGCTTTTGAGTATGTGTAGACCACTTTAAATTCTTGTCTAGCCATATTCCCAAAAATTTGTGTATTCCACATTATTGATTTCTTTGCCATAAAATTTTATTGACGGGTATTCTAGGTACATATTCTGAGTGTGATGGAAGGATATTGCTACCGTTTTCTCTATATTAATAATTAACTTATTCCTTTCGAACCACTGCTCCGGGTGATTATGATGATGGAGAATTTGGTGGAATGAAGATTGGCAGGGGAAACTGAAGTACTTGGAGAAAACCCACCACAGCGCCACTGTCCACCACAAATCCCACTTGACCAGACCTGAGATTGAAGCTAGGCCTCCATGGTGGGAAGCCAGCGACTATGAGTATGAGGGGTGAGCCATAAAACTGGCCCTAGCACTGCAACCTTCAAAACCCTTTATTAATCCTACACTTTGAATGAAATGTAGAACTTTCTTTATGGGGGCATCATAAAAGTCACTTGGTTCCGTGAAGAATTGACCCAGGTGGTGATATCTTAAATAAGCTATAGCCTCATAATTACATAAGGTGTGTGTGGCTGATTCATCTTCTTGTAGGCACCTCTCACAAATTGGGTCCTCTGTCAGTCCTAGTTTGGAAAGGTGCCCTTTCAGTTGGCAGTGTCCAGTAAGTAATCCTACCGCCCATCTGAGTTGATCTCTGTTTAATTTTAACAGGTCCCTTGTTCTTTTGGCAGAGGGTCCTGATATAAATCCTTTTGTCTGTCTTGAGTCCAGTTATGGAATCCCAGTGTTTTTTTTTTTTTTGTGATTTCTGTTAGTCCAGTCCCTGGTCGCTTTCTTGGGAACTCCAATTGAGATGCTGCAAGCTGGTTCAGGTCCTGTGAACTGTTGTTCAGATCCTGTTCTTGCCAGCTGATCTGCAGTTTCATTCCCTGCAGTACTCTCCTACAGAGATGCCGCAAGTTGGTTCAAGTCCTATGAACAGGTGTTCAGATCCTGTTCTTGCCAGTTGTCTGCGGTTTCATTCCCTACAGTACCCTCATGACCTGGCACTCATATCAGTTGTACTTTGTTGTGTCTGGCCAGTTGTATGAGTGATTGGTGGCGGTCCCAAACCAATTTTGAAGTGATTTGGTGTGTACCAAGTGCTTTAATTGCAGCTTGACTGTCTGATAGAATATAGATATTCCTATTTCTATAGTTCATATCTAAATTCTCAACTGCGCATGCCTTAATGGCATACACATCTGCCTGGAATACTGTTGTGTACTGACCGAGGCTGAAGGTATGCTTCAGCATCGTTCCATCACAATGCACCCCCTCTCCAGTGCCTTTATTTGTCTTGGAACCATCTGTATACCAGATTAGTCCCCCCTTTCTCTCGGGTTGAAACCCCTCTTTCCATTCACTTCTATCAGGAAAGCTGATTGTGAAGGCTCTATCATAAACATGTTTCGGTAGCATTTTATCAGATCCCATCTGTAGGGTGGGTTCTTTTTTCATGTCCCGAGTCATGTATGCATGTCCAAAACCTTTGGATTTAGGTCTCCATTGATCATTGCAGCGTAATCTGTAATTTCCTAACTTGGCCTCTGCTTCCATCTACAAATGCAGTGTAGGGAGTCTAGTAGGATTTCCGTTGCAGCTGTTGGAGCTATTCTCATTGCTCCTGTAATTCCCAAGCAGGCTGTCCTTTGCAGTTTGCTAAGTTCTGCCTGACTTCTCTTGAGTTTAACTCTAGGCCACCATATGGTGGAGGCATAGGTGATTATGGGTCTTACCACTGCAATGTATATCCAGTATACCACCTTTGGTGTCAGTCCGCAAGTCTTCCCAAACATGCCTCTGCATGTCCAGAAGGCTTTATAGGTCTTGTTAATAGCTTTTTCCAGCTGTTGTTTCCATGTAAGTACCTTGTCTAATGTTAATCCAAGGTACTTGACTTCACTGGATAGCCAGATCACTTTCCTGAAGAGGATTGGTTCTTTGAGCCCCTTTATATCCATCTTCCTAGTAAAGGGTACAAACAATCTTGTTTGGATTGATAGACAAGTGTGTCCTTTCGCACCACTGTTGAACTGTATACAGGGCTGTTTGTAAGACCTCTGATACAGTGTGTGGGAATTTCCCATTAATTATGATTGCTATACATCAGCATGTCCTACTGTGAATTGGCCTGTACTTTTGAGCTCCCAAAGATCATCCACTACCAGGCTCCACAGGAGAGGGGAAAGAACGCCTCCCTGCGGACACCCTCTCGCCACAGATGCTCTCAGGGTCTTTACAGTCAGTGTAGCACTTATATTCCTGCTTTCCAGCATGGCACAGATCCATCTGCATATTGTGGGCTCAATGCCATACCCCTCAGCAACCTCTTATTGTATCAAAGGAGGTTCTGTCAAAGGCTCCCTCTACGTCAAGGAATGCTCCAAGGGCAGTATCTTTGTGTTCAGTAGCATTCTCTATGTGTGTTACTACATTATGCAATGGCGTTTCAGTAGATTTACCTATTTGGTAAGCATGTTGGCTTCGGTGCAGAGGATCCGTTTTCAACGCACTGTCCCTAATATGTCTTATCTACCACTTTCTCAAGTGACTAACTGCTTGAGCTAAGGCGCGGCCTGTTAATGGAGTAATTGTTTGATAATCTTCATCCTGCAGTCAGTATGTTGTAATCATATTATAAAGCTGTTTAAGCCAACACTGAAAAAGTATGTCTTGTCTCACCCCTTCTACTCTCTACAAGATTTTTTTTTTCCTTGGCACTACAGCCCCAGTGGGCCTAGGCCTACCTCCATGAACTTCTCTGTTTCGGTTTTTCTAGATCTTAGACATTCGGTAGGACTCCTTGGGCGGGTGATCAGCTCGTTGCAAGGCCTCTACCCGTACACAAACACAGAAAAATGCACACAAACATCCATGCCCTGAGTGGGATTCGAACCCATGATCCTGGCTTCCGAGCAAGCAAAGACAGTGCACGCCTTAGACCACTCGGCTACCGTGACCAGCCTACAAGAATTTACCATAACCAAAAAGTTTCTGTTGTAAATACATATGAATAACGATGATAATGGCTCTGTTTTATAATTATTTTGGTGTAATTCAGTATTGAAAGAGATGTATGTAAATGTGTGTTTCAAGAAGTATATGTATTTGTAGTATGATATGTTCTGGATTCAAGTATGTATAAGGATGGATTAGAGAGCTTGGGTGGCCAGGGTTCATTCCCAGGAGCAAGAGATTTTTCTCATCTGTACCTCATCCAAGCTGGCTCTGGAGACCACCCAATCCCTGGTACACTGGGTACTGTGGGGTGGGTGTAGTGGCTGGAGTGTTTCAATCTTAGTGCTGAGGTCAGGATTGGTGGAGCTGTATCACCTCTGTCCCATATGCCTGCATGGCGCTGTGCTTAATTAAGTACAGGAACAATGTTACCTGACATACTTGGCTTAGGCCAGCGAAGGATTTTTGAAATTCAATTAAATTCTATTTTTTCCTCTTCACTAGAATTGGTAGATGAGGTCTGCTCTGTGTACATTTATCAAAAGATAGCTGAACTAGGATATTTGGATCATTTTGTCCAGGTTATGAACATAGCTGTTAAATGCCAGGGGAAACTGTAAAAAGAGGTATGAAATATAAAAATATTTAAGTCAGCTAAAAAATGAAATATGGGATGATGTTTACTTACATACAGTTCCTTTTTAACCAGTTATTGCCAGTATTTTGAAAGTATCTTTCCCTTAAAAATTCTCTGAAATCAAAGGTATCAAATCAGGATGCTTAATGAAAAGGATAAAAGTATTGGGACAGAGGCTGTGGTTGTTAGGTTTGTTAAAGAAAAAGTTGTCTATGTCCAGTGAAACATTGAACTATATAAAGAAATATCAAATTACTTACAAGAAAATGATATTGGAAGCATGGAATAGAGAAAATGACAGAATTATTTCAAGTTCAGCGAGCCATACCAAGGCATTAATGCAAATAATAATAAAGGAATCAGGGAATTTTGAAAAAACAAGTTAGAACATTTCTCTAAAATTATGCTCAATGATAGTTAACAGATCCACATTACATATCAGTTTAATGCTTTTTTCATAGAAAATGTGGATAAGGATGAGGATTATAAATTTGGTTATGACACTCAGTAATAAAGTATTAATCTATAATTCCATGTTTCTTGCTTCAGTTACTGAAGATGAGGTATTAAATGTACCCACTAAACTAAAAGGTAAATTTTCAGCTGGCAGGGATGAAATACCTGAAAGGTTAGTAAAAGAAAATATTCGGTATAACAATAAACCACCTTTGTATTTATCAATTCATTATGTTCTGGAACCTTTTCAAATTTGACAAAGGATGCGAAAGTTCAGCCTTTTTACAAAAATAGTGGGAAACAGGAAGTATCCTATTATAGACTAATTTCCATTTTGCCAGTTTTTCCAAAATTCTTGAAATATTAATACATAAAAGAGAACTGCCCTTAAACGAGGCTCAAAATGGCATCAGAGAGAAGAAATCTACCAATACAGCAACACAAACCTTCATAGAGGATATCCAGAAAGCATTAGATAATAAGCTGTTAGTTGTGGACATATTTTTAGATTTAACTGATCTGCCCCAAGCAATTCAAGAAGCTAAGATGGTGTGATTCATGGATGACACAAATATCTCATTGTTAAAAGAGAAATCAGTAAAAATCATGAAACAATTAGAAAACTTGTTCCTAACAAATAATCTTAGAATAAATACTAGAAAGACTAAAGCAGTACTATTTCAGGGAAGAGGGTCTACTCATTGACCCATTCTGTATTTAAGAAACATAAATACTAAAATAGGAAATTAGGTTCTGCTGTTTTGATAGTAAACATCAGTACACTACTGAGTGGGAACCTCAGCAGAAGGTTAAACTAAAAATGGATCAATAGTGAGAACTGACATAGACAGAAGTATGACAATTCAGGTCCAGTCTCAACTAGTGAAGCTTTTTACACACTTTCTGGTTTATACTGTGGCCATTATTGTGATCGTGCCATGGGCTACAGTTACAAATGGCTGTAAGTTGAGATATTCACTGGTGTCATAATTGGACATAGTTGCAATAACAGAAGTATCCACAACACAATATGGAAAAACCTTTGAGTGGGAAATTCACCATTTCTTGCTTAAAATGTTGAAAGCAAATTTGACATACCTTCTTGCTCTGTGTTCATGATAATTAAATGCCTTCTTTTTTATGGGGAGATTATACCCACCGAAAGGGTGGAGTAAGTTATCGCTTAATGGAAATGCTTCACCTACCAAAATCATCCAGGTACACTTGGGCTCTCAAATTTTTCCAGTGGCTTTGGACATGGCAGTTGTAATGAATTCTCATGTAATGATTTCCAAAATGAAGAGTTGTTGAAAATGGTTGGATCTTAATCTCCATTGTCGATTACATCCTTAATTGGAATCTGCTTCTGCAGTAGTTCAATGGAGTTTCAGTCTTTGTAGTTAAAATGCATTGAGCCTCTGTTTATGGTTTTATTATCCTTATATACTTGTCATCAGTAGCTCCAAAACATGGCATGAAATTGAGTTTCCTGCCAAAATCTGCTTCTACTTCCAATGTTTTTTCAGTAGGTTTAGGTACACATTTTTGGTGAAATAGTATGAAAATGTTAGCGCAGACACATCTTGTCATCTCGTATATTGTCTGCGTGCCCAGTCTGTAGATGTAATGTAGACCTATAAATATGCACCGCTCGCTGAATATCTGCAGTAGGAGATAAATTAACAGAAATTATAAATTGATTGCTATTTATTTTTCACAGGCAAGTTCATAGTCAAAAACTGAGCAGTGTAAAGGACAGTTGGAAGCAGTGGAGCAGCAGGATCAGTGAGGAGACAAAGTCTGGTGCTGCTGCAAAATCTAGATAAAAATACATATTTAGTGGTCAGCTCCTTTTTTTTAATGAAGGTGGCAAGTTATAAGGGAAGTGAATGTGGTTTGACACAAAACACTTAAAAAAGAACTAGCCAAAGTGCAACTCAGAATGAAGAACCAAGTTCCCCAACAGCTAGTGAAGTAATTCATAGTGGCATTTCACAGTGGTCATATAGGGCCAGCAACAGGCTGCAATGAGAAAGTGACCAATAATCAGCATTTCATTATTCCAAGTCGAGTAACAGCTCCATTGTCATCACTGAGGACTGAAATGCAGATGATATGTGATTTTGATACTCAGTTTGTTCAACATTATCAGGTAATACCAATGCAGGCTTTGAGTTCTTCAGTGAATAAATTTTGAGTATGAGTTTTATACATCTTCATAATACAGTGGAACCTCACTTAACAAGCACCTCTCATAACATGTAATTCGTAATTCGCATAACGAGCAAAACAAATTGTAAAAAAAAAGGACTCACTTAACCAGTGACGTTTTGCATAACGAGTGATGAGAAGGGAGGTCCCAGATTGTGCGCTTGCTATATCAGTCTGTGTTTAGCACTCGTTTCCAGTAGCATCTTAGTGTCGCTTGTGATCACACATTTTTCCAAACTTGTGTTCAGACATATTATTTGTGATATTTTTTGTGCAAAGTTTAATAACCCTTGTAAAAATGTCCCCAAAGAAAAAGCCACAACAAGACAGCCACAAGAGAATAAAAATAACCTTAGAATTGAAACGTAAAATCATTGAAAAGCGAGAACGAGGTGTAAGCGTGGCTGATCTAGCACGCACATACAATCGGTCTACATCAACGATTTGCACTATCCTCAAGAACAAGGACAAGATTAAGGAGATAGATGCTTCAAAGGGAGTGACAAGAATATCTGCGCAACGGTTACGTGTTCTCGACGATGTTGAAAGGTTGCTCCTTATATGGATAAACGAAAAGCAGTTGCAAGGTGACACTATTAATGAGAACATCATTTGTGAGAAGGCGAAAGTGATGTTCGCCGACCTCGTTAAGAAGACACCAGGATCATCAATGGCCAAAGAAGGAGCATTTAAGGGAAGCCGTGGGTGGTTCGAGAAGTTTAAGAGAAGAACCGGCATCCACAGGGTTGTAGGGTACAGTGAAGCAGCAAGCTCTGACACGAAGGCAGCCGAGAACTTCATCGGCGACTTCAAGAGTTTGTCAGAGGAGGGGGAGGAGGAGGTAACAGCAAAGCAACAATCTTCTGGTGCAATAAGAGAAATGCTGAATGCATGGGAAACTGTTGCATCATACATTGAGAAGCATCACCCTAATAAGGCAGTGGCTATGCGCGCTACAAATTTATTTAATGATAATGTTGTGTCACATTTTCACCAAATTTTGAAACATCGGCAAAAACAAATGTCTCTAGACAGCTTTCTGGTAAAAGAAGAATTAGATATATCATAAATAATAAACTAATTATTTCGATTTTTTTTCTGCAAATCGAATTTGCGTTCCACATTGGTTCATTCCTCATAGAAGAAAAGATGAAGATGATTCATGCTCCTTAACAATTTTCTTTGAATAAACGTTATACATAAAATGTTTTGAGTATTTTTTTCGCCATGGAACGCATTATCGTATTTTACATTAATTTGTATGGGAAAAATTGTTTCACTTAACAAGTGTTTCGCATTACGAGTAAGATTCTGGAACGAATTATGCTTGTTAAGTGAGGTTCCACTGTATTAATATGAATTATTGTAAATCTCTGGCTTTGGCCAGCAAAGGACAACTGTAGATTGAGGACATTGGAAGTGTAGAGTTTCCTTTGTGAATGTGGTCAGGTCTGCATTGGACAGATGGCCTCTTCAACTAACAAGAGCACAATTGGCATGTCTGGCTACAGCATCCAGACAAGTCATGGCAGAGCACAGTATGAACTTATGACACCATGTCTAAGCAACACCAAGATCCCCTCCATGCCCACATAACATGGATTGCATCATCAAGGAGGTGATTGAGATTGAGCTCCGGCCCACTGGTATGAACAGGGAGGATGGCTTCTGCCTAAGTAAGTAACATATACCTCTCATGGCCATTATTAGTTATCCTTGTCTCATGCTGGTTGTCTTTGATGTCCGAGACAGCCAGTGGGACCTGGCGAGTTGTCTTGCAGTTTCCTCCTGATTCCTGTATAAACCTAAGCTTTCTGCATCCTCCATGGGTTTCTTCAACCCTGAAGATGGAAGTGACATATTCTTCTGTAACAGTTAACTTCAGCTGTGTACAGGGTGTTATATCCCACAAAATAGAAGTCTTCATAACCATTGTTGTGAGAACCTCAAATCATTCAGTTTTATTTGATTTTTATGGAACCCATAAATATTTTTTATTTAATGAATATATATATATATATATATATATATATGAATATATATATATATATACATATATATATATATGAATATATATATATATATATATATACATATACACACACATACATGCCGCCATCTGGCTCTACAGCCCTTTGTGGGCCTTAGCCTCCTGCACCAGCAGCCTCCAAGCTTCTCTGTCCATTGCAGTGGATCTCCAATCTTTAACTTTCAATATCCAAAGGTCTTCTCTGACATCAAACTACCTCAATTTTGGTCTTATATATATATATATATATATATATACACATACAGGGTGTTTCACGACCTTAGGGCATAACTGCAGGAGGTGATTTCCTAGGTCTTTGTGATCAAAAAAGTTCATATAAACATGTGTCCGATTTTGGACGGTTACAGAGTTAGACCGTTTTTTCATTCCCATACACGCCCTCTTGTGAACCAAATCTGTCATCTGGCAGGTTGCTATTTTTAGCCAGCTACAGACAGAGCGTTCTCGTTATCTCGACACTGGAGAGGTACCTAAGGCGTGGTGGGTTGGTATGTCCAGTGCAGTTCACAACCGAGAAGCAACCCGTGTTGCGGCTGGCGGTGGCATTTTCGAAAATCAGCTTTAAGCACCAACAAATTCAAAGTAAAGGTAATTTCCCCATCACTTCATCTCCCTTGGGTACAAATATTCTCCCAGTTCTCAAACACCCTCAGTCTTTGTTCCTCCCTCAATGTCACAGACCAAGTTTCACACCCATACAGAACCACAGGAAAAATTATATTTTTGTGTATTCTGATTTTTATATTTTTAGACAGCAGACGAGAAGGCAGAAGGTTCTGGAATGAATGGTAGCAGGCATTACCTGAATTCAGTCTCCTCTTAATTTTGTCCTGAATCAGGTTTTGATTTGTTACTGCTCTTACCACATATTTGAACTGTGACACATTTGCAGAGGTTCTGTTAACTATCTTTATGTCATGATTTTGCCTTGCATTTTGGTGGAAAGACAGCAACATATACTTAGTCTTCTCTGTGTTTACTTCTAGACCAAGCTCATTATTAGCATCAGTTAAAGTTTTTGTGTTTGTCTTTATGATATCTGTTGTCTTCTTGTGAACTGGTACAGTAATGGACTCCTTCCAGTGATCAGGCAATCTTTCCTTATTCCAAATAGATTTGAGGAGCTTATGGATAGAGCATAGTATTTCACCTCCTACTTGAGTAAGTTCTGCTGGAATTTGATCACTACTGGGTGATTTATACCTTTTCATCTTTGCAATAGCAATTTCAACGTCAAAAGGACTAGGATCAGGTACTAGTTACTCAGCTGTCTTTATTTCTATCTGCTTAACATCACTGACCCTATGTGCGTTCATTAAAAATGGTAGTATTTCCACCTGTTCAAAATGTGGAATTCTGCAAGCCATTGGGTTCTACTCCATGTTCAGAGTGCAGGCTGATTGGAAACAAATTCTACTGTTGGCAGCTTCCTGTGAAAGCAGTGTGTCACCTGCCGAGAAAAATGCCCGCAGGCATTCGGAACCAGTAGCACACATTGTTTACTTCTTTCTTTAATTCTTAGTCAAATATAGTAATTAAAATTATACTATGCTACAAGCCAGAAGGTCGCAGGTTCAGGTCCCAGTGAGGTCACTGGATTTTTTCAATTTACCTAATTCTTCTGGCCGCACTATGGCCCTGGGGTGGACTCAACCTCTAACAGAAATGAGTACCAGGAATATTCTTGGGGTTTAAAGGGTGGCCAGCGCATAGGGCTGACAACCTTGCCACCATCTATGAACCGATTGTCTAGAAAATGTGGGAACATCAACATCTCACAACCCTATGGGCCTCCATGGCCTGCTACAGGGATACCTTTACTTTTTTTACTTTACTCATCATTATAGAAGATGTTCATAATGTCTGCCCTCTGCAGTGAGACATGTCTGAATTCTTTTGAACAGGTTTTGGAAAACTTTTTGCAGTTCATGTTGCTGAATGTCATAAATTGCTTCATGAATATTCTGTTTTAGAAAATGTAAGTCATGTGGATTGTTGGTATACACCAAAGTTTTTTAGTTTTCCCCACAAAAATCACAGGGGCTTAGATCTGGGGCTCTAGGGCCCAACAAACCCTTGCTAATAATTCTATCCTCCGCATTAAATCCCCAAAAAACACTGCATAATGCTCGGATAGTTTCCTTAGTTGTGTGTGGAGTAGCACCATCTTGCATAAAATAACCAAATCTTTCTTCTGCAGGTGCCAAATGAACGAAAAATGGATTGAGTTTTTCATTAATATATCATTCTATCATTCAGCATCAAGAGTTCATCATAAAGTATAGGTCCAATAATACATCATCATCATCAGTAATCTGTCAAGACGACAGGTCCACAGTCTCTTCCAAAACAATTCCTCCACTTAATGCGATCTAGAGCTTTCTCCTTCAAATGACAGTATCCTCTTCTGTCCCCAAGGTCATCCAGCATCTTCTTACGTCTTCTTCCTCGTCTTCTTGTCACTTCTATCCGCCCATCTATCTTTCCTTCGATAGCTTCTTTTAGAAGGCAGTTTCTGCGTAAAACATGACCAATCCAATTAGCCTTCCGTTTTCTTATTTCATGTAGGATATTCCTCTGCTCACTGACTCTAATTAACACTTCTTCATTTCTCACATAATCGGTCCAACTGATCTTCTCCATTCTTCTCCAACACCACATTTCGAAACTTTCCAGATGTTTCTGATCTACTGCCCTAAGTGTCCATGTTTCAGCCCCATACAGAGCTATGCTCCAAATGTAGCATTTCACTAGTCTGTGCTAATTGCACACCATACGCCTATCTTTTGGTCATGAAGGGGAAGTTGAATTAGTGCATGAGGATTTTCACTACTCCATTACTGTTGTTTTGTGAGTTAACATATCCTGAGAGATTAAAATTAGCCTCATCTGTGAAATTGTCAGGATCATGAACTTCGTCTTGCACATGGTTGATAAACCAATTACAGAATCTCACTCTTTTTTCATAATCCAGAGGTTTGATTTGAGGAACAACAGTAATTTTATATGGACAGATATGCAACAGTTTAATTGCTGTCCGCACACTGTCTACAGAGACACCACTTTGTTGTGCTAATTGCAGGAAAAATTTTCGAGGAGAATTTTTTAATTGATGGCAGATGTCATCAAGTTTTTCCTTAGTTAAAGCATGAGGTTGTGAGAACCAGGAAGCTGAGGAACAGTGCTGTTCTGGGATCAGGAGGGGATCCTTCTGTGGGACTGGCTGCCCCCAATATGACCACTGACAGTGATCGGTACTGCAATTCACTGTGCCAACTCTACCGATGCATTTAGCAACACCGCCATGGAAAATGGGGGTGTGGCATTCTTCTCCAACATGTCAATACGTGGCCACATGGCAGTCGGCAGACCATTGCCACCATGGGTGCTCTAGGGTACACTGTGCTGCCTCATCCGCCATACTCACCCGATCTTTCCCCTAGCGACTACACTCTAGTCGATGCAATGAAAGACGTTTACCTCCAGCGACGAGCTTCAGGCAGTTGACCAGCAGTGGTGCTGGGATACCCCCAAAGAATGGTTTGCTGTGCAGATACGAAACTGCCAGAACGATGGCAAAGGTGCATAGACATTGGCGGGGGATACCTCTAATATAATCTGTGTGTATTTTGTTCCAATAAATGGTTGCTGTGGAGAAAAACATTTAGTATCAATCATTTTTGAATGCCCCTAGTATTACTGACCTTCATCTTTAGTATGGCCTTATGCATCTTAGGTTTGAATGCTCCAAAAGACTGCATGGGAAACAGTTAACCATTTTCAGTTGAAGGCAGTGTAACCATGAAGAGTGTATATATACAAGTTCCAGTTAACTCACTCAGTTGATTGGTTAAGTGGAAGAAGTTGTGCTTTTCCATGCAGGAAATGGGCCTTGGGTTACAATGGTGCAGTTGATTGATTTTGTTGATTTGCATAGACGATTATTATGTCACATAAAATACAACACAGTAAAGTTCTTGCAAAGTTAGGTCAATATTTTTGTAAGGAACTAGCCTTTTTGGTCACAAAGAGCGTGATCTTTACATTTTTAATTTCAGTGGTATGGTTTAGTGATGCTTTGTGATATGTGGCAGTTGAAAAATATTCCAAATTAAATGAAGAATCGTTCTTTAAATTAAAAGAAACCTGTTTGGTAAATGTAGTGATATAGGATAATGGTATTGAGGTGAATATCTGCTGGAAGGAACCAACAGGCAGGCTTTTGACATCGCATCCCACCTAGCAGGGGAATGAAGGTTCATCATTGTTGTTAGACTGTTAGGTCATTAGAAATTCATTGATTTTATTTTCACCATACTTTTGATATTCATACATCATTGGGAAATGTGCATACTTGCAAAGAACTTTCTTAAAGTTGCCTACAGGAGGTACACTGTGCCCTGGTTTTTAAAGTAGATGGAATATAACAGCATTTTGTTGTTGCAACATGAAAGGTGGTGCATTGTAAAGATTTCAAGTAGGAGATTCGCTGAATGTTACAGTCACTTTGTTCTTAAACTTGTTCTTTGTATTTTATCATTTGATGCTATATGATGGTAGTCACCGACAACATTGTTGGATAAATAATAAACGAACATATTGAGATTATTACAATTAATATGTTGTTGGATCTTATCCATCATCTTGTCTCTTCTTAAAAAAGTTTCGGTGACTGGATTCTGTCTGTCTTCAGGTAAAACCTACTCAGTTGGGTCCAATAGACAGAGCTAGCCCCTATCTCGAGGCTAATGCCTGGAGATTAGTTTTTAAAAGAAACAGGATGGGTTTTTAAGAACAGACAAGATGATGGATAGTGTCCAACAACATATTAATTGTAACAATTTACCATTGTCACAAACTTTTATATCTTATATTGAGATTATATTTTTTGTATGTAGGAAAAAGAGGTTTCAGCATGGTGGTTATGTAGCGTACTGTTTTCTGGGATATAACTCCGTGTAGTCTGTTGAAAATCGACCAACGTTTTGAAGGAATATGTCGCCTTCATCTTCAGGGTTGAAGAGTAAGCCAGGCAAAAAAAAAAAAAAAAAAAACTGATGTGAAAGCAGGTGTAAAGTAGAGCTTATTCTCTGACCCTGAAGATGGAGGGTCTGTGATCCTCAGAAACGTGCATTTACTTTAAACAGACTACACAGCTATGTATCACAGAAGGTACTACTGTACATTTATAGTGTTTGTAGTATTGTGACATTAGTGGATGTGTTTGAAATGTTGCAGGCTATGCAGAACATGAATTGAACACAACTGGACACAAGACTGGCAGATCCATGCAGAAGACAACTGTATTGCAGACATTTAGGCATCCTTTTAAGTGTACATAATCTGCACTGTAGTAAGTAACTTAACCATGTAGTTACCACTGCTTTCCGTTAGCAACTGGCTCCATATTTTTTATCTTTTGTTAGCGCATTGGTCATGGTAGCCTTGCAGTGCAGTCGCAGATCAGTTTTTACATGAAGCTATAACCACTAGCCAGCCATTGTTTGGCTTTCTCCATTTGTGGCACAACTGTGGCTCTTTTCCTTGTGGCACTTTGGAACACTGGCAGCACCGATTGAAAAATGTTTTAACATAAGATGAAGTGTTCAGCAAAGTGATATGGGTTTGTTAATGCTTCTTTCTTGTATTCAGGGGATGCCTAATTTGATTATCAGTCATGGCACTGACTGCCTGACTGGTTTTTCACCTGTTTGTCAGTTGCTGTAAGCAATGCTAGGGCAGTACTTACCAGTAGTGGCTTATGAGTGTGTAAGCAGATGTGGTCATGTCCAAAGAAAACCCAACGCCTCCCTGAATGCTGATATTCAGGGAAAATCAAAAATTTATGTTGCAGTTTTTGCAATTTTGGGCTTATTTTGATTTGACAACATTGTAAACGAAGGGGTTACACCTTGTCACCTTTGTTGAAACACCCTACCCCTCCTAACAGCTTCTCTAGAGTTGGAGGAGATTTGGGAAGCCTCTACAATCCATGGCTCAATGTGTACAGACAGTCTCACATGCAGCACGTTCTATAAAGCTTAACAAAATGTTATTCACTTCAAAACTTTTACATGTCATATAGATTTTAACTTATTAGAAGTTATTCACCACATGTTTTGACCTATAAGGTCATCATCAGGTGTTTTAAAATTATAAATGAAGAAACTACTGTGCTTCCATATTGTGGTTTTTGGTTGTTACTATGCGATCCCTTCTATGCACATGTATTTATGAAGTGGCAGGTTGTTCTGCCTGTTGTGTTACCCTGTGTGTCCCTTTGACAGGCCAACACTACTAGGTGCTTCAGTGTGAATGCTACATGCCTAGACTGCACTGCTTCTGTCATATATTAGTCTGAATTGACTACATTCCTCGCATCTTCCTCCTAGGCCTTTTGTTATTGCTAGTGGGGTGGGACTAAGACCCTTGTACTGCGGCCATTTCTGGCCTATTGTACCAGCCGCAGATGATAGGCGAGGGTTATTGTGGAGCAATTGGTGGAATGAAGATGGCAGGGGAACCAAAGTACTTGAAGAAAACCTTCCCCAGGGCCACTTTGTCCACCACAAATCCCACTTGACCACACCCGGGATCGAACCCAGGCCGCTGCAGTGGGAAGCCAGTGACTAACCGCTTGAGCTATGGTGTCACCTTCCTAGGTTCTTTGATAATCATAGTGATAGAGATTAATGTGATGCTGATTTGCATTGAAATTATCCCTAACTTTGGTTTGACACTTCTTCGACTTGTTCTTGGTACTGGCACTGTAATGATATAATTGTCTGATGCTTTATTATATCCATCAGAGATAATGGTAATTCTGTGTAGTCTTGCATTTACACTTTCATCTTTTAATTTATTAATGATACGCTGTACATTTCACCATATTAAGAACTACCTTCCCCTTTATAATATTGCCATCGCCTTTGCTGCTTTGTCATTAATGAGGTCACCTCCCTCATTCTCTGCATCGTTGATTGTAGTTGTGGTTTGCTGCCTCCTGCTCTGTCCGTCCTTTTCTCTATTGAAGGTTAGGGGACTTCAAAGGGAACAGGAGCAGATTTGGACGCCAGTAACGTATGTTACACAGTGGATGAGCTAGGGGAGGTATTAATATGCACCAACCATCAGGGATGACACAAGATTCCTCTTCAGGTCTTTATATGGGCCTTGTGTTGAGATGGGAGAATAGTGACCACTACTGATGCACTGATGTTTCGAACTGGTATCCGTGGTTGGTGGTGATGGTCTGCGGGCAACCGAAGCAGGATATCCAGCCGGTTAGTAGGGCGCGTGCCATGTGTCGGCTGTGATGTCCGGAATGGGGATGACTTCTGGCCAGTGGGTGAAACAGTCGACTGCAGTGAGGCAGTATGTGTAACCCACTGACCCACAAGGTCAGTATGAACGTGCAGAAAATGGGCTGCCAGTGGTGTAAAGTCGCCCAGTGGAGTCACTGTGTGGTGGGAGACTTTGGAGCACTGGCAGGACTGGCAAACACATGACCAGGTGCAGCAATCCTTCTGTATGCCTGGCCACATGGAACACTGTGCGACCAGCTTAGCTATTGCTCTGGTGCCTGGGTGCGACAGATCGTGGGCAGACTGGAACACATGGAGCCGTAGAGGCGCCGGAACGTACAGCTGAGATCACCCGGTAGACATGTCGCAGTAAATGGAGACTGCGATACCGGGGATTGGTAGGTTCTCGAGCCGCAGGGCGGTGGTTGACCCCAGGAGTGCTCGGAGTTCATCATCACTGTCCTGTGATGCGGCAAGTGCGTTGTAAGGTGGTGGCACAGTGACGGACTCGACGCAAGAGAGGGCATCAGCGACAATCTTGTGCTGTCCAGAGATGTGGCTGATGTCAATTGTGAATTGTGCTATGAAATCCAAGTGGTTAAATTGCCTCGGTGAACATTTGTCCCGCTTCTGCTGGAAGGCATAAGTGATAGGTTTGTAGTCTGTAAAGCTGGTGTCACACTGGGCTAGTTTACTAGCACCTAACGATTAGCAGCAAGCACTCGCTGCTTGCTGGCGAGCATTTTACTCGCAGCTAGTGAAGTTGAACATGTCCAACTTTACTAGCCTCTAGCTTCAGAGATGGGATCACATGACTCATTAGCCACTCGCTACTAGCGCTCTACTCACCCGTGTGACAGCTCCACATGGCATACTAGCGGTGAGTTGAGAAACATGTGCAGATCAGTTGGCGTAGTAGTTGTATTCTTTCCGCAAGCAAAATGGGTGATGGTACATTGAAGTGGAATGGAAAAGAAATAATAGAATTTTTAAACATGTTCAGAAAGTACGAGTGTTTGTGGAATCCGTCATGTGATTTGTATATGAAGAGGAATGCAAAGGACGCCACCTTCATTGAACTCATGGCGGGTATGAAATTGAGGGGACTGGAAGCTAAAGAAGAAAATTTAAGTTCTTCGTGATTTTTACCGGCTAGAGCTTAATAAGGTGAAACATTCCAGGAAAAGCGGAGCAGGACTCGATGACGTCTACAAACCAAAGCTCGTATGGTTTACTGTAGCTGATTCATTCTGGCGAAACGGTGTTTCAGGAAGGGAATCAACATCAAACTTGGTAAGTTCAGATTAACCCTTTATAGAATATTTAATTAGTTAAAATAAGTTTAAAATATTTAATTAGTTAAAATACTTCTTGCTTCCAGTTCAACATTTGTTACTTACTCATTACATAGGCTACCTATAATAATTGTGCTTGATTTTGAGATTGTAAGAATAGCTTGTTTGCAATAGGAGTTCCAACAGTAACACAGAAACAATTCCCCGTATGTTTCACTAAAAAAGAACAAAAACTGCCAGAGATCCTGCGCTCTAGGACTTCCTCAGTGCTGCATATTGCCACGGTACGGCTAAGTCTGTCATAAATGCTCTTGCATATCGTTTACGGACCTCTTCTCCGTCCCTCTTGTAATTATTGGATGAATACAAACGATCTACTGGAAGCATTGCAGTAGGTTCTTGTCGCCACGCACCGAGAACAGGTTCACCAGAAGTTGGATCTTCCATGTCCAGAGATCCTTGGGGAAGAAGTTACTCTAAGCCAGTTGTGTAGAGCACATGCAGCTTTTACAACGAGATCTATTGTTTCAACCGAAAGATTAATTGGTCTACAGAATATGCGAAATCTTGCAGCTAATATCCCGAAAGCATTTTCTGCAACACGGCGTGCTCTTGATAACCTGTAGTTAAAAATCCTTTCTCTGTCGGACAACCATCTGTGTGAGTACGGTTTCAATAAGTAGGGTTGAATAGGAAATGCATCATCTCCCACAAATAGCTCTCCTGTAGGCCAGTTGAGAAAGTTTTGTTCCATTGCTGCGTTCAAACTTGAATTACGGGATACCATACTATCACTAGATCTTCCATCACAGCAAACATCAATATATTGAAAGCAGTAATCTGCGTCTACCATGGCAAACAAAATAATACAGTAAGTCCCTTTGTAATTGAAGAATAATGATGCAGAATTCTTAGGGCGCACGATCTGGATGTGTTTTCCATCCATGTTGCCACAACAGTTCGGGAAATTCCACCTACATTCAAGAGCCTTTTGAATAGCTTTCCACTCATCAGTAGATGTAGGTACCTGAAAGCAATGAAATTAATGAGATTTTTTTGCCACATATTTTCTCATTATTTCATTCCTTTTCAGGACATATCAACAGCAGAGATGTCAAACGTGGAAACACAAGGTGAAGTAAACGACAAGCAGGAAACCATTGACAATACTTGTTTGGATCAGTCTCACAGTACTCCAAGCCAAGACAAGCAGCTGAATTATTCACATCCCCTTGCCGGGACAAACAAAAGGTTAGCTGACAGGTCTCCTCCCTCAGATCATTCCGTCACAGGACTTAAAAAAGGGCAACAAGATCAAGAAACTGACAGCCTTTGAATCCTCTATAAATAAGCTACAAGATATAGCCAGAGTGGCAGCTGAACCTGAGGACGAGCATGACACTTGCTAAATATATAGCAAATCAACTGCATACGTTGCCTACCAGGAGCTTCATTCTACTCCAGGGCAAAATACAAAATTTAATAACAATCGAATGACTCAATTGCCATGATTCACAGGCATGTCCTCACTTGACGTGCTCGATGGGATCTCCACAAACGCCACTCTCGCTGACTTCTCCACCATCCACCTCTGTTGAAGCTGCCAGTTCTTACGACTCGTCAAACCAACTGGGTCTTGATGTCTTACAGCGTGCCCTGTACAACATTTGTGACTTCAATAGTGCTGGAAATGGATTGCAGTAGAGAACGCTGCTCCTTGTTATTTACCTTTTTTCACTGCATTATCTTTTCAC